CTCCGGCAACGGCAGACAGTAGCCCAGGGCGCCATCCAAGGTGCCATAGATGACCAAGTGCTTGTTCTCGTAGAGGAAGGGCTGGCGGTGATGCAGGCCCCGTTGATGGCACTGCACACGGAACATGGTGTTGACCACCTGGCCCAAGTGATAATCGGCCTTGCGCAGCAGCTTCTGACCGCCCAGAGATTCGCGCGCCTCCGGCTGATACATGTAGACAATCAGATTGCGCTCCGCATCGGTGACCAGAAAGCCCAGATTCGAGTTATCCACCATGAACTCAATGCCAAAGACCTCGAGCGGATTGAAATCGCGGGAGGCCAGTGAGAGCGTTCGATACTCCTCCTGGAAGCGCAGCAAACTAATCGATTTATAGACATCCGCTATAAAGATCAGGGATTTGACGGTAATTATCTGATGCACGTAGATGTTGGTATCGATGAAGGCGACGCCAATGAGATCACCATCGCGCAACTGCCAGATATAAATCTTCTGGCCTAGACCGGTTACCAGGAAACCGACGACATCGGAGATGGCCGAAACGGGTCCCTTTTGTTCCTTCTTAAAGACTTCCTTGAGCTTGAACTTGGTCATGGGCTTGCCCGGTTCCGGCACCACCTCAATAATATCATAGATATGTATATTGCCGCGACTGGTGATATCCTCGCTATAGTTGAAATTGGTGCCAATGCACAGATACTCCTTCAAGCCGGAGCGTGTGCCCTCATACGAGAGTTTCACTATCTTGAAGGCGGTGACATGCTCCCACGGCTCGAATTGTATGGAAGCGTCGGGCACAATTTCCCAGGTCTCCGGACTGATGAGCACCATTTCAAACAGTGAGCCAATTGGGTAAATGAAACGCTCGCCGCGACTCTCCTCGGACAGCTCCTTGTCCTCGCCGTTAAAGCGATAATATTTGGTCATGGGCTCCTCCTTCTGCGTAATCAGACAATAAACGCGATTCTCGCGATGATAGACCAGCTGACGAGGCGTGCAACGTAGCGGCACCTTGCGCACCGGCCAGGCGGCATCGTAGCTCAAATAGCTGGGCAGCACCGAGATCTTCAGCTCGTAGGTGGTATCGAAATAGAGAAAACCATGTGGTATATTCACATTGTTGAATGCCGCAAAGCTGCGCACATCCGCATTGCCGAGCAGCCGATGGATGCGCAGTTCGCCGCGTGCGGTGAGGAACACAAAACAGGGATTCATGCCGCACACCATGATCCCAGCCAGGCCGCCCACATTGACGAAATAGCGCAGCTTCTGCACATATTTGGGCTGCATATTATAGGATTCGGCCTCCTCAGCCTCATCGCCATCCAGCTCAATGTGCGTGGGCTGCTGGTCCAGCAGATGTAGTTGCTCCAGCTTACGAAATCGTATCTTCAGATGGCCCTTGGCATAACGAAACACCTGATAGATGAGCAGCTCGAGCCGTGTGCGCACCAGCAATAATGGTCGCTCGCCATGCTGACCCAGGCCCACCAGGCACAGCTCCAGCGGCAATGGGGAGTTCGCATGCTGCGGCATGCACGCGTGCAATATGCCCGCCTTGGAGTTCTCCTGCGTCAGCGAAATGGGCACAAATTCCATGGCATCGTTTAGGACCAGCGCCCCATTGCCCACATCATTGACCAAATAGACAAGCTTCATATCCGGCATGGAGTAGATCTCAAGTGTGCCACTTTGGCGTGCCACAACCAGCCAATAGCTAGGCTTGGCCTGCACCAGCTGGCGGCGCCACCAGTCCGAGTTCTTCTGCTTCGACTGCTTGGCCAGATCGGCCATGCTGTTCAACTTGAAGGCATTACCCGCATCGCCATACAGTAAATCCTCCTCATCCTCCACCTTCATGTGCGGCTCGGCCTTCATGTAACCGCCAAAGCTATTGGCAAAACCGGGGCCCGAGCTGCCGGTCAAATTGAGCACATCGTCCGTCTTGCATGTGAACAGTCCAGATAAATCCTTGTACGCTGCAATAGCCACCACAGCTGGAGAACTGCTGATAGTGTGCTTATTGATGGCCAGTCGAGGTGTGCCGCGTGTCTCGCGCAGCGCCAGCGTTATAACCTGTCCGTTGAGCACGCGGAGGCAGACATAAGGATCAGCTATGGACACCTGCACCACGGGCGAGCCCACATCGATCGGCACATTCTGGATGAGCCGGGTGCCCTGCAGCAAACGCACATGACGTGTGGTTACCTGAGGGAAAGAGATATATATATTAGTAAACCTCTCTTTATTATTAAATCTTTACTGTATTCAAAATCTTCAAGATTTGCCTACGGAGAGGGATTAAGAATCGTCGTAAACTGAAATAATCTTGATCTGCGTGTGGTCTAGGAAAATTATCTATTATCCATTTGGCTTATGCTTAAAATTAAGAGGTTAACAATCGATATTTATCGATTTGGCAGAAAGAGAGGATTTAACGAATTAATAAAATAATTTCATATGATACCACAAGACCAGAACCTATACTTAAGAATGCTTGCGTCTACCTTTGAGATATGGTTAATGAAACGAGCCTGAAAATCGATATTTATCGAAATAGTGGCAGCAATCGAAGAAAATATAAAATTGTTATGCAAACGATTTACGATAACCTATAAAAATAGGCGTTTGGTTCCTGAGATCGACTAGCTAATAATTAACTGAAGGATTCGCCTATTGGAACTCTTCTTAAATATAAATCCACGATTTTCAAGAGGCACAGGGTATCTAAATTCCTTACCTGCACTATAAAGCGCTGCTGGCCAAGATTGCCCACATATATAGTTGGCTGGTTGACCGTGAAACCCGTGTTCTCGATCTCGTTGATCTCCTGGCCTGTTTGCAGCACAAGGGTCGAGGAGCGTTGAGAGAGTAGCATAAAATCATGTTGCTCCTGGCGTGCCGTTGTCGGTTTACGTGTAGCATCATCAAACACCGTCCAGACATCCAGGCAGCCATCCAGCTCAAAGCTGGTGATGATCTGCGGATTGATGCAGTTGATAAATACCGAAAGTGCGCCATTTTTGCTATGTCCAGTGGCGGCGACCAGCTCAATCTTGACCTCATTGAGGGATTCCGCATGCGGGCGCAATGTGCTACCATCCTCCTCGAACTCCACACGCTCGCCGGCGCACATGTAATTGATGGGTGCCACATTGATGAGACTGTCGCAAACCTCAAAGATGAATTTGCGCAGCTGCAGCACCGAGGCCTTGGCGCCAGAGCCATATACCTCCAGCTCCTCATCCTCAATACGACGGGATTTGGCTTGCGATGGCGCCTCATGCTGGTCCACATCATAGACCTGCTCTTCATCCAGCTGTGGGGGTGCCTGCTCAACAGCCTGCTGCTGCTCCACGGCATTCTCCATTTCATCCAAAGTAATCACCGTGCTCTGATCCTCCTCGGTGAAGTGCAGCAGCAGCGAATTGCCTAGGCGAGAGCCCAAAAATATATACTCCGTGTGGCACACACAGATGCAGCTGGTCAGAACACTGGCCGCCGCCTTGTGGAAGTGAAAATTGCGCACAGTGCGCATAGAGTCCACGCACAGGGTAAGCACATAGAGATCGCCAGTGCGTAACGAAATAACTAGTTTATCTACATCGATGAAAGCGAAATTGGCGCAGTCCAAGCTAAGACGTACATTATCCTGCGGCTTAAGCGGAAAACTGGTGCTGTTATCCGCCGAGCTATTAAGACTGACGCCATAAGGCGGCACGCTCTGATTCAAATAGATAATGGCATTCACAGTCATGACCAGGCAGCCGCCAATGGGCTTCTGTATGGGAAAGACATGCAGGCAGTCATAGGGCAGGCTGTTTACAGTCCAGATAATGGGATGCACGCGCTGCTGTATATTCAGTGAGATGGCCACCAGCACGCAGGTATCGGAGCGCACCTTAATGCGGCCGGCACAGGTGCGCACCGGTTCGTAGAGTATAAGCAATGTGGGCTCATAATAGCCATGCAAAAATTGTATATCCAGCACATTGTCCAGCTTCTCGTCCAGATCAGCGAGCGCTATTAGGTAGGATGCCATAATGGGCGTGCGTGTGACCATAGCTGTGGGCGCCTTCTTAATGGGCTTCACATCGGCCAGCTCAATCTCATCGAGACTGTTGTCCTTGCGAAAGGGCAGCACCACCAGACGCTTGCCATATACGAGCATCACTGCACAGCGCGCATCCGGATCCACACGCACCACGGGCACATGATAGCGTCCCGTCCAACCACCGCGTATGTCCTCCTCCTCAAAATAATGTAGCGAGAGTGTTTTCAGGGTTTGCGTATCTGCGTCCAGCTGCAGCACCGACAGCTTTGCATCCTTAAAGCTAATCAGTAACGCATCCCGCATGCCGCCCGCCAGCGACACACTCTGCAGAGACATAACATTTCCATAGAGCGAATAGCTGGCTAGGCATTCGAGACGCATTTTCGGCGCCAGACGCATCTCGGTGGGATTAAGCTTTTGGCGCTGCGCCGCATCCACGTTGGGCGCAATACGGTACACTTTGAGCACATTGGCGCCGGCCACGACCAGATTCTCCTCGAGATTGTTGAAAAAGCGACACGTAATGGCAAATTCCACCGATGTAGCCGCGTGTGTCTGTTTGCACATTGAGAACATCTTCGCGGATTTTGTTATAATATTAACAAATAACTAACTAAAACATATCCCACTCAGCAACACAAGGAGGGCTGCCGGCGTTGTTTACATCTGTTTTACCATCTGCACAAAAGCTGCAAAACTATCGTAAAAAATATCGATAGTCATTACTACGTTGATTGTAAGTGCTCGATCTATCGGGGGCTTTCAATAATTTTCATACTATGTTTAGTTAAAAATTAAGGAAGCACTTAAGCTAACTAATTGTTATTATATTATTTATCGCTATTTTAGTGCATTCAGTATATAAAGTCGTATATACATCGCAAGGTATCACTATCGATAGCTTTTCACCATTCTGAGTTTGGTGTTGGCGCGATTACAGTTATATCGATAGTGCTGTCAATTGTTTTGCAGCTCTAGTTTTAGTGTAGTGCAGTTTTTAACATCCCTATTGCTCTCAAACTGGGAACCCAATAATTATAATTTAACCAACAAAAAATAATCATTCAACATTAGAATGTAAAACGGAAAGTGCGTGTTAATTATGTTTAGTTTTTAGTGTACGATGTAACAACAATTTCATTCAAATAACTGGAAGCTTTTTTTTGCTGCGTAGCTACACTCCGTGCGCGTAAGAAAGACAGCGGTTGGCGTGTAGCCAAAGCATATGTAAACGCTTGCGTAAGAAAGAGTCAACTCGATACAGCACAAGAAGCAGAAAAAGAATCCAAAATTTTGTAGCTCTCTGCTTCTGCTTTTGTTTGTGTCTTTGCAACAACCATTCAATATTTTATTTTTCAACTAAGTGCATTAGAACTAACTAATCAAGTGCAGGTGCGGGTGCAATTTAAAGTTTGGCTTGAGTAAAACGCAATTAACAAAAGCCAAAACAAACCACGCAAAAAGGTTTTATATGTGCGTGCGTGCGCGCGTGTGTGTGTGCGCATTATAATTACATATGTATATATGTGTGTCTCGTGTATGTGTGCATACATATGTATTATTCCTGCAGGGGCAAAAGCAACAAACCAACCAACTTTGCTCTCTTTTTTATTGTTGTTGTTGTGTTTGTTATTGTAGGCAACAAATTCACGGCGGACACACATATATCCATATATGTACGAAAAGGAAAAGGCAAAGAGCAGCAAATGAAAATTAGCGTGTGTAATAAATGTGTGAAAAGTGACTGGGCGTAAGGGTTTAGTGTAACGGTAAGACACACGGGCAAGCAATTATTGTAAAGTTTTTGCAATAAGAGGGGGCGCACACAACAAAATTTGATTGCCGCTCGGGCTGTGTGGCAGGCAAACCCCACCACGCGCCCTGGCACCCGTTGAAATGGCTAAAACTGCTGCTGGCCAGGTTAGTTGCTATTACGGTTGCAGATTTGCGGCAAATTTGTTTATAATTATTTTTTTTTGTTTTTTTTTAGTATGTTCGCAAAAAGCAATTAAACTGCCGCCTGACATGGACACAATAACAACAATAATAATTACGAAATACTGCTGAGCGTAGTTGTAAATAGTTATAAATATAAACATGAAAACCATAACGCCGGATACAATAGCATCAGCAGCGCCGCAACAGCAGCAGCAGCAGCAGCAGCAACAACAACAGCAGCATCATCAACATTTGCCCGCGCAAGGCGCCATCATTCCACAACAACAACACATAACACCTGTGATTATGGAAGCAACAGCGCATGTGAATCTCGTGGAGGATGATGATGAAAAGGATCCGCTGGCATTAGACGCTGCAGCGCATCAGACAACGGCGTCTGAGGCGGCCCAGCAGCACCTGTCCGGATCAGCAGCAGCGGCGGCTCTCAACTCAACCTCAGCTAATAAGCACACACATAGTCTGAGGTAAGCATATGGTTTTATTTCTTGCAAAAGTTGCATTCACTCACCTCTTATCTGCTTGCCACAGGCGCCACCTGCCACGCATCATTGTGAAACCTATACCGCCTGAGAAGAAGTCAATGCCCAGTGAGGATGCATTGCATAATGCTGGACTGCCGCCAGCACCAGCGCTGTTTGTGCCACCCAGCATTGCGTCTGCACCAGCTGCACCCACGCCTGTGCGCGGCATTAGCAGTCGTCGCATACAACAACAACAGCAGGCCAAAGCAGCAGCGGCGGCGGCGGCAGCAGCAGCAGCGGAGGCAGCAGCAGCAGCTGCAACCGCAGCCGCCTCTAACACCAGCGGGTCACCAAGCACCGCTAAAGCCGCAACACAAACCTCCACCATGCGTGAGGTGCTGGCCTCTATACCGGGCTTTAACAGCGTCAAGCCTCGTCGGCGCAGCAACAAGAAACTAACAACTGCTGCGCAAATTGAACAGACTAAGGATGGCAAAATCGATTTGGAAACGCCCGATTCAATACTGGCATCCACAAATCTGCGCGCTCTGCTCAATAAACAGACGTTCTCATTGCTGCCTCCACTCTATCAGCATAATCTCATACAGCTGTTGCCGAGCGTGGATCGTGAGGCCAGCGAGGTGGTGCAGCCGTTGCAGCCTGAACAGCCCACCACTAGCAGCGGCGGTGCCAGCAGCAGCAGCGGCAGCGTTGCACACGAAGGAATACGTCTGAGCGCCTCCTGCCTGAATAATGAGTTCTTTGCACGCGCCTGCCTGGAGTGGCGTGAACGTCTCAGCGAAGGCGAGTTTACGCCAGAGAATCAAATCAAGCTGAAAACGGAAGCGGAGCGCGAAAAGAACAAACTGGATCCGTGGAAACTCAAGCACTTTGAGCGCTACTGGGGCGAAAAGAATGCAAAGCGAGCGCCGAATTTAAACCCGCCAAGCAGCAAACTTAAGCTGGAGCCAACAAGGCAGCAGCAACGGCCAGTGCCACCTGCGCCACCGCCACCAGCACCACCACCAACACAGCAACAACAGCAGCAGCAGCAACAACTACAACAAGCAACATGTGATAATGAGACTGAACTGAAATTTAATACGGTAGGTAGTCGGAAGTTTACTAAAATGATAAAGCGCTGTTCTTGTTATTAGCAAACGAGCGCCATGTAACTTATATACACAGTGAACGCTCGTTAACAGCATCCATTCATAAGAAGCAAAAAAGTTCGACCTAACTAAAAGCGCTTGTTTCTGTTTAATTATCTGCCTTGTCTTGTTTCGGCATAGATTCCGTGTCGCTAAACCTAGGTTTTGGTTTAAACCCCGGTTCGTTTTATTCATAACAGGCTCGAACCGGCTTGCTGCCTGTTTTGAAAAAATAGCTCATTCAGTGATAAGAACATTTTCAGAATTTCCACTCCAAACCAAGTACTTCCTTTTATCGTGCGCCTTCTTTAATATAAATGTTTTCATTATGTTAATTTAAATAACTCATATACTTGCAGAGCACAAAGTGCGATATGACAACCACAACAACAACTGCAGCTAGTATGGATACAGCAACAACTGCTAGTGCCTCAGTAGAAGCAATAACAACAACGACAGACGCTGCAACTATAGAAACCTCTAGTAGTAGTAGTAGCAGCAGCAGCAGCAATGCTTTAACAGAGCAACAACGACGCATCCTCAAACGCCCCTCCAGCAGCCCCTCCCGACGCAAACGCAGCGATCCGACAACAATTGTCTTGGATGAGGTTGTAGTAGCTGATGAGCTGCCCACAACGTCAAAGGAGAGCAAACAAATAAAACGCGAATTAGCTGAGATTGTTCCTAATGCCATGGCAAATGTAACAGATGTTGTTGATCATGCGGGGACAGCAGGAATAACAACAACATCTGCAGCGGCTAAAAACCAGCAGCCACTTATCAACAGTACCTGTGATAAAATTGAGCCACCTGATGCACAGACACTCGCCACAACAACAGCAACAACAATAACGAAAGCAGAAACCGCAAACGCAACAAACACTAAAGCAATTCCTGCAGCAGCAGCAGCAGCAGTAACAACATCAACATCAAACATTGCAGAGACTATCACAAACTTTGCAGGCTATTTGCAGAACGTAGAGCTGGCAGAAGGTGTGTTAATTATAATATATACAAAATATTTTGTTTATACATATTCTCTAAATGTTTAGATACCAAAGCAACGGTCAATGTCACCCCAATGTCAACTTCTACAACAACTGCTTCAACAACAACAGACACCCATGACTTTGTATTTGCCGATACGATTGATCATGGTAAGCTTATTTTGACCATTTTAAATGCTAATTAAAATGTAGTTAATTAGTCATGTAGTTATATACAAAGTAATTTGGTTATGGTTAATTGTTTGTGTTATATAATATATTTTGTAGTTTGTATATTTTTCCCTGTTTCTGTTTATTTGGTTTTTAACATGCCCAATTTTAATAATTTGTAAAATTATTTAGATTTTTTTAACTTAATTATGTACTAATTTAGCTTACACAGCCCTAAAGCCAAAAATCTTTTCAATTATAGGGTTTTCTTTAAAGAACAATCGTTTTTTTTCATACATGTCTCAGTTTCCTTTTCAACGTTCGTTCAAAAGTTTTTATATTGTAAATGTTTCCAAAACATTGTTGAAATAAAGTTTTGTAGCTGTATATATTGTAGCTATGTATCATAATTTTCTATGGCTTTCTATTAATTTAGTTTTTATATTAACTAATTGAAATTATAAGCTTGTTAGTTAATTTTATTATTTAAAATTTACTATTGGCTTTATTTATGCATATGTTTTTATATGTTTTCCAAATTTTATTGAGCTAAAATGCAAAATTTCGGAAAATTACATTTGTTAATCAAAATATATTTAGACTAAAATGTAATATATTAATTTGTTTTGTTGTATGTATCCAGTTATAGTTATTTATTAATATACATTTTAATTTAAAACAATATTATAGTTGATTGTCATAAATTTCTTAAAGCTTATCTCTTTATAAGAAATTACTTTCTACCTTGATTCAATCGTTTTTTTTTTGTTTTTATAATTTGTAATGAAATTTCAAAATTGTTTTGTACTCAGTAATAAATATAATACTCTTAATTGTATTCCATTTGGTAAATAATTGTGATTATTTTTTCAAAATTTTCAAAAGCTTTCACTAATATTAAAACTCTATTAATGTATATTCCATCTCCTGCTTTAATGGTCATTCTTCAAATGTCGCCAACGCAGCTTACTTCCACAATCATCAAGCAGCCATCAGCCACGCCTACTACTCTTCATCATCATCGCCCAATTGTAATTTTGATCAATTTCTTCACCGCTTGTCAATTGACTAACTAATTTTTTCGTTTGCTTAGCGACAGCAACAATCATAAAAGTGGACGATCATTGTGATAAGCAGCTGGAGGATTCAGGCATGACGCTGGCCATGTCTATGCCCATGGCTAGCAGCTCTACAGGCTCATCGCTGGCGACTACAACGCCCGTGAGCTCGCTCGCATCCAGCAGTTGCGCCTCTTCTTCGTTGTCCTCATCGCTGTCCTCGTCCTGCTCCAGCAGCAACTCCTCCTCAACAGCAGCCACCACAACGACGGCACCTGGCGTGGTTGCAGCTGCATCGCTGTCACTGGCCACAGCGGCGGAAACAACGCTCGCCGATATGCAGGCCATGCTCAGTACTGTGGCCACGCTCCAGCAGCAGCAGGAGCAACAGCAGCAGCAACAACACGTGTCGCCTGCTGTGGAGCTGCCCGTGGAGTTGAACTCCAGCGAAATGTTTCAGCATGTGCAGCACGATTGGAATTTCGGTGGCATCAAGTTGCTGGCAGCAACGGCACCAGCTTCGGGAAATGCGACTGTGGAGCAACTGCAGCAGGCGGAGCAGCACTTGAACCATGAGGCTATCCAATTAATGGATGTGGTGCATGAGGCAGAGGAGGTCATTGATGACATGGTGGAGTGTCATAATTTGCTGGACAATGATGTTTGTGAGCAAGTGGCAGATGAAGAAGATGAAGACGACGAAGTTATTGACGAAGATGATGATGTAGTTGAGTGCATCGATTCGGAGCAACAGGAACAGGATGATGTAATGAGTGCAATGGTCGATCATGTTATGGATGACAGCGAGAGCGATGCAGTGCGTGATATTGTGGACAAGCTGCAGCAGCATCATCAGCAGCAGCAACAACACCAGCAGCAACAACAACAACAACAGCAGCAACAACAACAACAGCTGCAGGCACAGCTGCAGGATGTTGTGCAATTGACGCAGCATTCCTTTATGCCACAGGCTCACAGCAGTGACTATGCGAATGAGGTGAGTACCGCATCAATTGCAACCAGTTATATTTTAAATCATTGCTCTCGCATTCCACAGATCACCCATGAACTGCTGTGCGATGCAGTGCCCATGTCCGCGGCCGAAATGGAAGTGTCGAGCACTGTCATTACCAACAGCAGCAACAGCAATGATAGCAGCAATAACTTGAGCCTGTGCAGCAGTAGTAGCAGCAGCATTGCCATCAATCAGCTGCCACAACCGACAGCTGCTGCTGCTCCAGCTGCCCCGGCACCACAGCAACAACAGCGTCAGATTTTGGTGGATTCCAATGGACAAATCATAGGCAATTTTTTGTTGCAGCAACAACAGCAGCAGCAGCAGCAACAACAACGCCAACAGCAACAGCAACAATTACAACAGCAGCAATTGCTGCAGCAGTTTACATTGCAAGCAGCCGCACAGCAGCAGCAGCAACAACAGCAGGCAACTAGCAGCAATGCACTGCAAAAATCGCATCAAGCGCTACCCGTAACGCTACGCAAACCCTTTGAGATCAACAGCAATGGCGCGCAGCAATTTTTGGCGCCCAATTTGCTGGCCCAGCAGCAACAACAACAGCAGATCGAGCAGCAACAGCAACAGCAGCAACAGGTGCAGCAAAAGCAACAACAACTGCAGCAATTTGCGCTACAGGCGCAGCTTCATCAGCGACAGCTTCTAGCGCAGGCAGCTAATAACAATCTGCTGCAGCAGCAACAGCAATTGCAGCAACAACAGCAAAATTATCAGCAGCAGCAACAAGCTGTTGTGCCGCCCAAATTCATAGCAAAGCCGCTGAATATAATATCGATGACACGACCCGCCAATGCATCGCCCAACGCGGCAACAGCCGTAGCAACATCAGCAGCTGCAAACAATCCACAAATTCCGTCCACCTACGCCAATGTTGTAGCCGCAGTGCAGCAGCAGCAGCAGCAGTCGTCAACAGCGCAGCAACAGATCAATCACAACAGCAACTTGCAGCAGCAGCAGCAACAACAACAACCGCTGCAGCTGCCTGTTCCTACTGTTAACAATGTGCTGACCATGAAAACGCTGCCACCCTCGGGCGTGCCCACAACAATTGCCCAGCAGCGACTGCAGCCAAAGATGCCCACGGGAAAAGGACGCAAGGCGACCACTAATCGATTGCCGCCGGGAGCTGTCAATCTTGAGCGTAGCTATCAAATCTGTCAGGCGGTCATACAGAACAGTCCGAATCGTGAGAACCTCAAGGCGCAGCTGCGCCCGCCGGCGGCCATACTCAGCCAACAGCAACAGACAACGGCAACAACTGTAAGCAGCAGCAGCGGCGGCGGCGGCGGCGGCAGCAATTCAGCACTGAACGTATCCACTGTAGCGGCCGCGCCAATGAGCAATTTGAGTACGGTGAGCGGTAATGTGACAGCAGCAGCAGCAGCAGCTACCGCTGCCGCACCAGCACAAAATCTGCTCAAGCAGGAGGAACTGCTGGTCAGCGGTGCAGCTGCTGTGAACGCAGCGCCAGCACTGCCCGCCGGCATGCCGCCCAATGTGATGGGTGTGGGCAGACCTGGCGTCTATAAGGTAATAATTTCGCATTAAGGATTTGAAATATGTTATATAAACCCTTCATTCTTGTATGCCCAGGTCATAGGTCCGCGCATGAGTGGCTTTCCTCGCAAGAAGTACGTACAGCGCAAGCCCTCGCCCACAACGGTTATTAGGCACATGTTAACTGCGGCGCCTGGTGCGTCCAGTTCACAGCAGCTGCAGCTGGCCGCGGGTCAGCAGGTGGCGCAACAGGCACAGCCCGCACAGGAGCAAATATTGCATCAGAATGGTACTGGTCAGTATGTGCTGGTGCACCGTGCCAATGTGGGTGCCGCAGACAATCAAGCGCCGCGTGCCTCTAGCGCGCCGCCATTGCATCAAAATCAGGTGAGTGCCATGAAGGGATAGCTATGATTGAACAACGCAACTAAGTAAATTGAATTCCCTTACAGTTTGTCGCCGTGCAGAATCCGCTGCACAACCTCAATGGCATAAGCATGGGCGGACGCGGGCGTCCGGCTTCTGTAGACAATAACAACAGCGCTGGCAATGGTGCAACCGCGCTTGCCACCAATGATGCGCTGCATCATCATGAGCTGCATCAGCAACAACAACAACAACAGCAGCAACAGCAACTGGGCAATGTGAGCGCGGCCGCGAATATTGTGCGGCGCAATATCGCTGCAGGTAAATTGGTGTATTATTAGTGCTTAGCGAGGTACGTCTTTCAAATCACCGCACACAAATTCCAACATTCATTCATTCATCCATATCACAATTTGGCACGCATTTATTAATTATGACAATAGATTTGTTAGATTTACCTATTTGGGGAACAACAAAATATACACCCGTTGACTCATAATTTTTCGTTTCCACGTAACCTTTTGCGTATGCGTATGTTCGAGTATGTAAACTGCATGGTTTATTTCTTAATTTAATGCATTCACACGTTGTGGAAACTTAGTTAAGAGCTTAACATAAGAGAAGAGATGAAATAATATTTTATCATATACTTTGTCATCTGGGTATATTCATAAAATGAGAGGTGGAACAACTCAAAATTGTACGCAGATGTAGAAGTCGCTGCACTCGAGATTTCGGAAGGTCACTAATTAAAGAACTGATTATTTGCTGATTTTATATTTATTAAACATCCGTCTACGATAGTTGAGTTGTCTCAGTTATTCAGTCCTTCAAGCAAGAAAAATCTCCGAGTTCGCATATCACGCTATAGAAATATAAGTATGTAGAGATGTGCTAGGATAATACGATTTCATAGTCAAGAAACTAAGGAAAATTGTATGTGAAATTTATTATTATTATTTATAATCAGCAAAATGGTCTCAAGCCTGAAAATCGGTTTAGTTTTGACAATTTGAAACTTATAAATTACATTTACGAGTAGTTTTGTAAGTTTTGCTTCTTATGTTAACCTTAACTGTGAATGCAGCAGATGTATTTAAGTATGTATTGTTAATATTTTTACCTTAATATTATTTTTTTTACAATATATATAAATAAGGTGAATTTTAAATTGAATACTAAAACTTTGTTCTACACATAAAAGGAACCAACATTACCTACATAGACGGCAGCAACAACAGCAACTCGGCGGCGGCGGCTCTCATGGATGCGGGCAACAACTACATAGTGACGACCACAGGAACAGCAACCGCAGCGGGAGGCGTAGTAAATCAACAAACAGCCCAGCAACAACACCAACATCAGCAGCAGGCGCAACAGCAACAACATCCTCTACTGCAATTGCATCAAAGCGGCGAGAACACGCCACCGGGCAGCGAGGCAAGCAACAACAGTTGCGCCTGCGCCCTAAACGCGATGGTGATTTGCCAGCAATGCGGCGCGTTCTGTCACGATGATTGCATCAGCGCCTCGAAGCTGTGCGTATCCTGTGTGATCAGATGAGAGCTAAGCCTGCAGATGCAACTGGAAAACGTATTATAGTAATATATAGAGTTAACCACATTTAGATGCAATGGCTAATATATATGTATATATATTAATGTATTGGCAAGTCGAAAAGTTAGTTAGTTAGTGCGCCCCACCCACATAGAAGAGGAGGAAGACAAATGTGTATTAAAGTTAATTTCTGGTTGCTTTCGACCTATAACCCGACAAAATTTATAAGCTAGACTATAAAACTACACCCAACTAGACGCAAACCAAGTGCAGAGGCTTGAGCAAACACACACACACTCTAAACTCACATACACACACACACACACACAAAGCTATAGCAGGAAATCGCTTGCGTAAAATGTATTTTTTAATTTCATGCGCAGAATATGAAAGCCATGTAAATAGAGAAAGTAACTATTGGTAGTTGGGCTGGGGGGGAGAAGACAAAACTTAGTAAGCAAGCAAGTGTTGTGTATTTTGTGCTTGTTGCGTAGCCCTAAGAAACTCTGTTCAAGTGTTTGTTTATAGGGCTATCGCAATGGCACATACAAAACGATGATATGAACAGAATGTAAACACTCAATGTAATTTAAACAAAACAAATTCAACAAAAAGGCAGCGGCAAAAGCAGCAAAAACCAATATAAAAAAAACAACAAAGCTATGTACATATTTATGTTTAATATTAAATGTAATTTATAAATGAAAAAAGTATATATATATATATATATATATATAAATATATATTTACGATTAAGCTAGAATTGAGAAACTTCAAACTTAGGTTGACATATGCCTGAAGACTATATTTTTTATAATTTGTCGTTGCAGCATATGCGTGATGATAATTCAGTTGGTTCGTTTTTAAAATACATAAGCAACTACATAATATACATACATGCAACTACAATACATACATACATAATATATTTTACTGTGTAATTTAAAAACCTAAGCTTTTTATTTCCCTAATCTAAGTTTATCATTCTTCACAACCAAACACACACATACCACAACCACATCTCTAGCATACACATAATATAGCGCATAAAAGTAATTGTAATTCACATATTAAACAAATTGATTTAAAAGCATAAAACTGTTGATAAAACAAACAAAAACACAAATATACACTGAAACAAAAAACATAAATGTACATTGAGAAACTAAAATGCAATTAAAAACAAAAAAAAATATTATAACAAGATGGAGGAACAAAATTCAAAAGAGAGAAAAACAAAAAAGGAAAACGAAAATCATTTTGCTCCTAGATGCACTCAAAATTAACCAATAAACATTATTACAAATAAATTGAATGAAAAAAAAAAACAAAACCTAAAGAGTATTTACTCACTACAAATGGACCTTGACTATAGAAAGAACCACAAATTATTTAAACAATACCAAAATCTTTTTATTTTTAACAGACAGAAAAAAGTATTTACAATGGCAACTGAAAAGCGGACACAACTGACGACACAATTGTGGGCACCTCGGCCATGGCGCCATTTCCCGTATCACCGCACATTAGAGTCTTGGAAATGCAGGGTATCTCCTTGTAGCCCCAGCTGATTAGCTTGTCAATCTGTTCGCGCGTTATGGGATGATCGTACATGCGTGTATTCATCGCTGGGGCAAAGAGCAGCGGCTTCTCCAAATCCCAAGCGCGCACCACGCACAGCACCAGATTGTCGCAAAGGCCCTGTTAAAACAAATACAAAAAACCATATATTTTTATAACTATCTAATGTTTAAACAAAGATAAGTTAAACTTACAGTGGCTATTTTGGCTAGAGAGTTGGCGCTAAGTGGCGCAATTAGCAGCATATGCGCCCACTTGCCCAGCTCAATGTGCAGCACGGGGTCGCCGCGTTTGTTCCAGGTTAGCCACTCGTCACGATTATGTAAAATGGGCACATGTTCCGGCACCTGCTCCAATTCAAAAAAGTGTTTGGCATGTTCCGTTATAATGACCTTAACCTGTTGGCAATTGGAAAGGGTTAATTGACTTGAAGATGGAGCGTGGTGCAGACACTCACGTTAAATTTATAAGAAAGCTTTTCGTTGCTTAGTTCGGATATTAATTGCACCAGTTTAATGGTGGCCACGCTGCCTGTGGCCGCAATGAGCACATTGCGTTCCGGCTTCAATTTTATTGCTGCTGCTGCTTCTCTTTTTCCGGAAATCCCAATTTCGCCCATTCTGTTTTTTCCATAAGATTGTTGTCCATGCGGCAGCCCAAATACTCTTGCGCCTCTGCCCGGCACTTGGCGTTGTCGTTATCGTTGCGCCGCAAGCAACTGGCGTAGATTAGGAAGTGCTTCTTGCACAAGCTCTCGTGATCTAATGGAAAGCTGCCCTTCTCCGGCGCTGTGGGTATGAACTTCTTCTGACTGTAGATCTGAGAAGTCATTTGTATGTTTGTCACCACCAAGATCTTATCTCAAAATATTAATAAGCGAGCATACGGCAATTATGAAATAGATAAAACGTAAATAAAGCAAATAAAAACAACTGTCAATTGGGCGTGAGTGAGGCTGCCAGAGTTTTATACTAAAATATAAGTGGCAGCACGATAACATATTAAACCTGCAATCGATTGAGAGCGGCTTCCATATAAACAGTGCTGCCACTATAACGATAGCTATATCTTATAAAAGAAACTAACAATAGAAATGGCGTTATTTAATTACCTAAAATCCCAATTAACAATACCGACGAAAATAAATTTTACATTGGCCTTAGTTTAGCTTAATATCCATTTTTGAAACCAAATTTTTAGCCATTTATAGCCAGTTTTATTTTTCGATATAGTTCTTTACGTCTTTCAAATTCTGGCAACACTGCACACGAAGCCGGCAGAATGCAGTGGCTTAAAATATTAATTTGTTTAATTTCAAGTTTAATATTAAAGACAAACGCCCAGTTTGAGCGTGATCCTAATGGCTATATTGCCTATTGTCCATGTATGGGTAAGTTTTGATAGGTTTTCTTGCTTTTATGTTTTGCTTTAAGTTTTATTTATGTTTTGGCCTCAGGACGCTTTGGCAACCAGGCGGATCATTTTCTGGGCTCCTTGGCCTTTGCTCGCGCTCTAAATCGCACATTTATATTGCCGCCATGGGTGGAGTATCGCAAGGGTGAAATGCGCTCTCGACAGGTGCCATTTGACACGTACTTTGAGGTGGAGCCCCTGCAGGAGTTTCATCGCGTCATACTCATGTCGGACTTTATGAGCCACCTGGCTGATGAGGTTTGGCCCGCCTCGGAGCGCGTATCCTTCTGTTATATGGAGCGGAAGAGCTTGCAGCAGGAGAAGAACGATCCGAATGCGCCCAACTGTCATGCCAAGGATGGAAATCCATTTGGTCCATTCTGGGACACGTATAATATTGACTTTGTGGCCTCCGAGTTCTATGGTCCACTGCATTTTGATGTACACCACAGTGCCATAGCCACCAAATGGCAGCAAAGCTATACGGCCGATAAGTGGCCCGTGCTAGCATTTACCGGCGCGCCCGCCAGTTTTCCTGTGCAACTGGAGAACCGCGTATTGCAAAAGTACTTGAAATGGAGTCCACATTATAGAGAAGCAGCTCGTGAATTTATTCGCAATGTTCTGCCGCGCGGCGCTTTTGTTGGTCTGCATTTGCGCAATGGCATCGATTGGGTGCGCGCCTGTGAGCATATCAAGGACAGTCAACAGCTCTTCGCATCGCCGCAGTGTCTGGGCTATAAGAATGAGCGCGGCGAGCTGTACACGGAACTGTGCATGCCCACCAAGGAGGCAATTGTGCGGCAGCTGAAGCGCATAATTAAAAATGTACGTCAATCGCAACCGAAGAACGAGGTGAAATCCGTTTTTGTGGCATCCGATGCGAATCATATGATAAGCGAGCTGAGCAACGCGCTCAGTCGCATGGATATCAGCGTGCACAAGTTGCCCGAAGATGATCCCTATCTTGATTTGGCCATATTGGGACAATCGAATCATTTTATTGGCAACTGCATTTCTTCGTACAGCGCATTCGTTAAACGTGAGCGGGACACTCACGGATTTCCCTCGTATTTCTGGTCTTTTCCTAAAGAAAAGGAACGCCAACAGTCCAAGCCGCATGAGGAGCTATGAAGCCTGACAATCTTGAACAATTCTCAAAAAAGGATGCATATACATCAGGATGGCATCAGCTTTAAATTTAATTTTAAAGCTTACAGCAAGTGTCATCAACGCATAGCATATTTAGTGTTAAGCTAGAAAGTATTCCCCACATCTGACAAGAACAAATCCAACTAGGATGATTTAACTTATAAGTTGCAATTAATTAGATATGTATTTGATTTTACTTAGAAATTTATTCAAGCTTGATTTCTCACGCATTCCTCAAAATAATTTAATATGTAAAACTTTACCCGCGCTTTTTATTTGTTCTTGACGTCACTTAGGTATGTGTTTTTATTTTCTTCTTAATGTATCAGCTTTTGCGTGCGTGCCAGATCCAGTTGTGCAGATGATACGTTCGTCAATCCCTCGCGCACCGAGCTAAGGTTATCCTTCCAGGCCTGGAGCAGATCGCGCAGCTGCTCCCATTGTGGTGCACCAAAGGTGCGATGCATTGTCGAGGAAATGTGAACCTTGCGATTGGCCTGATCGAGACGCGCACGCACCAGCTTTGTCTTCAGCACTTCAATGACAAATGGCTCCACTTCATCCTCGCCGATTTGCAACTCCTTGGTCAGCGTATCGAAAGTCATTTCAGGAAAGCTTTCGGCCAGCTGCATAAATGTCAGCAGACGCATTTTCTTCATGTTCTGCTCGTGGTTCAGGCCCTGCGAGTTGACAAACTCCTTGTGATCCTCATAGAACTGCACATACACGGGCAGCTTGTCGGACACGAAGATAGACAACAAATCGTGTATCAGATCGCCCTCCAGGAAGCGCACGGGTTTCAGCGATAGCAAAGGATCGAGCAGGAATGTATTGGGATCGGCCAGGGCGGTGACAATGCACTTCATGGCATCCTCACGAGCAACGCACGCATTGTCTGCCGTATAGGTGCCCAACAGCTCAATCATGACCTTAGAAGACAGCTCCAAATTGGTGTCCTTGGTGACATCGTGCAACAGACGGTACAACTTTTGCATCTGCTCACTGGATGGTGGGCAGTTGGCAAACTGCGACTTCAGCTGATCGACGCCAGTGAACACCTCCAGCACCTGATCGCACTGCTTGGCCACCTGCACCAAATGATAGTAGACATGGTAGCGCAAGGGAGAGGCTGTGTCCAGATTGTTGAACAAACGCCACAGCGACTGCAGACAGACTTTGGCCAGCGGCTGGTTGGGCGCCTTGGTCATCTTTTCGCAATAGGCCAACACAATGTTCTCACCACGATCCAGAGGTATCTGAAAGTATCATTGTTAAACTATTTATTGGCAGTTATATACGATATATATACCGTTATCATAATGGATACAATGCTGTTAAGAATTCCATCAATCTGAGCTGGTTCACCGTCTTTGAAGCAGGCTTCACAGACACCGATTATTTTATGCAAATCATCTTCCACGCCTTTATTCGATTTCTCCGATGAGATTTCGGCACCAAGCTTTTTAAAATACTTGCGCAGCTCTTGCACCTGTTAAAAAATAGATACATTCAATTTTATTTTGTATTTACAAAATTTGTTTTTGCACCCACTACCAACATAACCTCACTTTAATGTTGAATGCGGCACAGAAGGCACGGTAAAATATTATTGAAACATTACCTGTTCATCTAACGAAAGGTCTATAAAAACCGGATGCGAAGCCATGGTTTTATAGATTGTTAAGTTATATATTTTTGCAAAAAGAATAAACAAATTTGCACGCACACGTCGTCGTCGTCGTCGTCGATGAATTGACAACTCGAAAGGAAAGGGCAAAACAATAATAGAGTTGCCATGTTGTATGAAAAACTATCGATTGTAGGAACGCGGCGATAACGATAATTGTATTTCGAGAAATTTGTTAAACTGCCGGGCTGTAAAATGGAAGACCTTAACGACGACTCATTTGATGATGTCTTGGCTTCAATGGAAATGCCCACAGCTCCAAAGCAGCCGAAAACACAAACAACGACAACAACAGAAGCATCTATCAGCAGCAGCACCAGTTCTGCTGCCGGCACAGCTAAGCCGCCGCCTTCAAATCCTCACAGCGTTTTGGTGCACAGCAAGCAACGCGGTAATCCCATACTGAAATCCATTCTCAATGTGCCCCTGGAGTTTCGTGATGATATTATACCAGACTATGTGGTGGGTCGTACTTCCTGCATACTGTTCCTGTCGCTCAAGTACCATAATTTGAATCCCGATTACATTTGCCAACGCCTCAAGGCGCTGGGCAAGATGTATGAGCTACGCGTGCTGCTGGTGCAGGTGGACACGCCAGAGCCGCACAATGCGCTGAAAAGCTTAACACGCATTTCGCTACTGGCAGATCTAACGATGATGCTGGCCTGGAACGCCGAGGAGGCAGGCAAAATCATAGAAACATATAAGCAGTTCGAGAAGCGTCCGCCGGATTTGATTATGGAGCGCGTTGAGTCCAATCCGCATCAGAAGGTGGGTGTGATGTTCAGTCCTTAATGTAATTTCAATGGTTTTCATCCTCTGTAGCTTGTGGCAGCTTTGACCAACATTAAACCAGTGAATAAAACGGATGCCGTCACGATTTTGCAAATCTTTGGCAATCTGGAGAACCTTATTAATGCCAGCGAGGAGCGGCTTTCCCAAGTTATGGGCTTGGGACCACGCAAGGCCAAGAAATTGTACAAAACGCTACACGAACCCTTTCTTAGCAAATAAGGCCAATTTATTGTAACAGTTATATATTACAATACACAATAGGAAAAACTTAAATTATATACACAAAACCGGGACAGAAAGATATGATTACTCCTGCAGTTTCCATATCTTGATGGTGCCATCGTCGCTGCAGGAGATCAGCTGACCGGCCGTCACTGGATTCCATTCCACCGCATTCACATCCTGTTCGTGTGCGCTTTCCTCGGCTGTTAGCAGCTCAAATGTGGGCGCATCTCGTTTGGAATCGCTGCTCTCTTTGAAAATTCGAATGCCATCATCGCCACAAGCGCTGGCAATCAGGCCTGTCTGCTTGCACCAGGACACATCATAGATGGCACGCGAGTGCTCTCCGGACAAGGTGCACACGCATTTCCACACGGTGGTCTTGTCGGGCGTGGCAATGCCAGCATCATTTCCCGGATGATAGGCACGCCAAATCTTAAGTGTGGCATCATCGCTGCAGGAAACCAAACGCTCGCCATCTGCATCAAAATCAATGCTCCACACTGTGCTCGTGTGCGAGCTGAGCGTCGCCGTACAGTCCCAGTCGCTATCGAGCGCGCTCTCGGCAAACATCTTGATTGTGTTGTCATACGAAGCTGAGGCCAAGACTTCCTTTGTTGGATGCCACACCACACGCTTCACATCCTGCGAGTGTGCGTTTAGCACAGCAGCGCATTCGAACTCATCATCGCCAGCCACTTCCCAGATCCACACTGACTTGTCGCGCGAGCAAGTGGCCAACAAGCCGCCGCTGCGTGACCAGCTAACGCTCTTCACCTCATTCTCGTGCCCCTCCAGCGTTGCAGTGCATTCGTGCTTGGACCAAATGGCTGTGGTGGCATCAAAGCTGGCGGAGGCCAAATACTCACCGCACGGTGACCATCGTACCTCGCGTATGGTGCGCTTGTGCCCATCAGATAGTATGGTTTTGGTGGTCCATGTGTTTCCCGAAAGTGACCAAATTCTGATGGCTTTGTCTTCGCCGCAAGAGGCGAAACTATTTCCCTTTGGATGCCATGCAACGCCCCAAATTCGTCCTTTGTGTCCCTGCAGCGTGTGTTCGAGAATAAGGCGACCCATAATTAAAGTTGTGTAGTTTTAAGGTATTTATATTAAATTATATATGTTGGTTTCTATTGATAACGCTGCATGCGTAAAGTCCTAAAAAACAGATGATAGTCAAGTGTTCAGTTCCGAACTAGTTTCATCGCGTAGATCTTTGAACACAACTTGAAAATAAAAGTAGTACAATCAATTAGTTAATATTGCAACAAAACTACAATGCAATTATACGTTTTTATATATAAATATTCTACAAGCTGGAAAGCTGCGTGTTTTGTTACATTTTAAAGAAAATAATTTAACTCGGTAACTGAACTGAACTCATATATCAACTAGATGGCAACGCTCAGCTCGTATCACTGACAAATTCCAGTAGTAAATAAATAATCGTCTAAAAAGAAAATATATTATTTTAAATTCATATGTAGACTATGATTTAATAGTCTTTGGTTTAATACTACGTTCCACAGCAACTTTGCCAATATAACCAAGTTCAGGTATTTAGTTTTAATTCGAATTTTCAAAGTAAGCGCCAAGAACATTTTCCCACAGCTATAACTATCGATATTTTTTGGCACAACGATAAAAATGAGCACTGAACTGTAACACGAAGATTTACAGTTAAAACAACATCTACTAAATCAACAATCTACGTTTTACTTTTAATAAATACACACTGAAGTTAGTTGGTTTAACTTTATTACGTGGCAGCTGAAGTATCGCTGACTGCCGCACGCCGCGGATCATCTACACAAATAGACAAAACTAGTGCATTGTGTTTTGGCCGTTTCTTCTTTCTGATAAGAAAATGAACGGTCTAATTGTATTCAATAGCGCCAACGATGTGGCTTATCAGAATTTGAATGGAGATCTAACGGAGAAAATATGCAATATAGCAATTGCACAGGGTTTGGTGCCCGCCGGCAGCGTAACGACTCCCGGCGCCGCCCTGGACAGCAATGTGCTGTTGCAGATATTCAGTCCCATTATCAGCTCACAGCGGATTATGCATTGTCAGTTTGACAATGCCTATTCGAGCTTCCAGTGCGAGAATGGCTTCAATTTGGCCTTTGGCGAGCTCTTGGGTTTTACTTTTTTGAAAATTGGCCAAACCGAGATTGAGCAACTGATGCGGCAACTGGGCGTGGCCATTACACTGACACGCTACTTCTATGGCGCCAATTTGTTTGGCGCACAGGCTGGAGCCATGCAGCAGGAGCTGCTGACGCTGTGCCTCAACTGTTACGAGTCGCAGCTGTGGCAGGAGGAGCAGGCCTATTTGCTGGAGGCTCTGCCCAAGCTGCTCATCAACACAGAACTGAAGCGCACTGTGCACGTGACACTGGATGCGACGCTGGAGCAACTGCGACAAACGGGCGGACAGCAGCGGGCACATGCCCTGCTTCTTGTCTCGCATAAGCTGGTGGCATTGAATAGCACACGCCAGGCGCTTCCCTTGGCACCCGCCGATTTGCTCTTTCTGGCCATCTTAGCGCGAGCGCTACAATCCCAGAAATCCCAACGCGCCGTCGCCGTTTTCCTTCAAGGAGTTTCACATGATGTCAATTCTGGCTGTGTGCCCAGCATTGTGCATCTGTCACGCCTGCATGGCCATCAGGTGCTGCTGCAGATCATCGAGTACGGCCACATGCCGCTGACCAGCTCCATATACGATACATTCTTTGTGCTGCAGAAGATTGTGGCCGTGCAGCAGCAGGGCGATGCGGATGCATTGAAGCCTGCTTACGAGAGTCTGGAATCTTTTGTCAGCCAGACCTTGACGGCGCTCAAGCGGCATCTGAAGCAAAGACACGAGGATTTGGAGAGCTGTGTCAAAAAGTTTACGGCACGCTGGGAGAATCTGCGCAAGATGTACGTGGAATTCTTCAAGAGCTTCGAGCGCGAGCTGCTCGTCCGCATCGAATCCAATTTGCCAGCTTTTGTGGAGGAGCTGAAGCAACTGTTTACGCTCTCCTTGGCCAGCTGCGACAGCGCCAGCAATCAGCAGCTGGATCAGCTGGCCGACTCGGCAGCTGTGGTTGAGGCCAAGCTGCTGGAATTTGCCGAATTCCTGGCGGTAAAAGCGGCGCGCAACATCTCCATTGATGCTTACTTGGAGGACTTTCCAGGCCTGGTGCATTTCATGTATGTCAATCGCAGCTCCGGTCAAATGCTGGCGCCGGACTTGCGTCAAAACAGTCCACAGCTGCTGCCCAAGTCCAAACTCTGGCACATGGTGGAGTTCACTCGCAGCTATTTAAAGAAGGGCCAAACCACAGTCATGTGGAAGGATCGCACATTCCATTATTCGTATTTCCTCTGGTTTGAGGATCTCTCGGGTGGCATATTAAAATGCACCCTGGACTTGCAGCAGCATTTCCTATCCACGGGCTTTGGCGCCGGTGGCAATGGGCAGAAGACACCAGCAGAGCCTGGCGCACTGCCCATGGATTACTACAGCGAGCTGGCCGAGCTTTGCTTTCCCAAGCTGGCGCCAGGCAAAGTACGCGTCTATGAATTGTACTGCATACATTTGGGCCTCGTCACGGCCACCTGCGCCGTGGAGCATGCCCGCCGCTTGGTGGCCACCATCAGCGATGTGGTTGGCGAGGAAACATTTTAAATGGCATTGTTAGTTTAATTTAGTTATATATTTATTTTTTGACATTCCTTAAAAGATGCCGCACGATGCTAGTCAACTTTTGTCCCTCTACTGAAATGATATATCAGACGAATATTATATATAATCCTCTAAAGGATCCTCTTAACTTTAATGTTATTTTAATCCATTTCTTGAGTTGATATATACTTCCGAAGGTATCAAACGTTATAGACCTTAAAGTTGCTTTGATTGTTATTTTTTGTGATTTTTGTTTATTTCATTTTATTTTAGCTATAATGTATACATTTTAATATTCCATTAGGAAAACTAGTTGTTAACGAATAAATCCTAAACAATTATTGTTGATGTTTCAGTTTACAGTTTTTAAGGTATTTGGTTCGAGCTCCGGTGTGCGTTAATTCATTCAATTTCAATTTAGAAACGAAGCCACATTTCTATGCCTTGGACTGGGTCTTCTTATCGAATGAAATCAAATTTTTACCAAAAAAGTTTCCTTCAGTCGGTTCGGTCTAAAAGAAGTCTGTTTTTCTGTTTGCTTAATGGTTTTGAAGTCTTTGAATAAACCAAACAACAGATTTTTAACAAACGTTTATTAACTATTTACATGTTTATTGTGTCGCCGTCGTTTCCTGTTGATTTTGTAGCTCCTGCCATTTATCCTCAAAGAAGGACTTGCGCGCCGTCAATGGCATGGACTTCTGGCGCAGCATATAGTTCTCATTGCCCAGAGCCGTGTAGGTGTTGTCTCCAATGAGATTCCTTAGGGCAATATTCTTCTTTAAATGCTTATCATAGTAACTAATGCCGGCGGCCACAAACTGTGGACCCAGCGTTGCAAGTTTCTTGTCTATCTCTGCATCGGTGACCACCTGATTAACGTCCTTCATAAAACACCAGCTGCCCACGCCGAACAAGCCCAAAATGGTGTATAAAACAAAACGTACCTGTGAAAAATAAAACGCAAACGATTAACAAGTGTGACAAGGATTCCCAATCAAAAACTTACACTGCCATGACGAGCAAACAGATCGAGACGCAGGTTCAAGAAGTGTCCAATGGTGTAGACCATGAGGAAGCTCAGACTGGGGTATATGGAGTTCAAAAGCACGCGATGCGTTTGCAGCTGCAGAATTGCCTTGCTCAGTCCAAACACCTGCTCATCCTCCGTCAAGACAATAGCCTTCTCTAACAGTTTTCCGCTGTCCGAGGTCCAATCGATTTGCTGATCGCGAAACCGAATATCTGCCCGCTTGATCTCATCAGTGCTGCCATAGGCGTAGTTTACGGGTATGCCCAGGGCGGCGCCAAAGCGAAACTTTGTGGTGCCCGCTTGAAACAGATCGAAGCCAAATACAGTAAAGGGTTTGACGAACTTGCGCTCACGCGGATCTATCTCCAGTTTGTCCATTGCCTGATTCACACGTTGCTGCACTGCCTCCGGAACTTCTCGTTCAATGCCATTTCTGTGTAAAGCAGAAAAACAATTAATAAGTATGGGCACCATGTTCCTCTTATACGCTGACCCACTGATAACATTGGACAAAATTGCGGTAATATTTCAGTCCGAATGTGTGTGGCACAAAGTTGGCTATAAATAGTCCAGCTGTGGCCGTGCCCGCCGCATAGAACACCACTTTACGTCCATTTTCGGTCTTAAAAAAGGATAAAAGGCCGCCGCCGGCTTTCTTCTGCATGTTTGCCTGTTTTGTAACCACAACTTATCGGCCGACCGCCACATCGAAGTGGGGCGATATTTATACTCAGCATTGCATTTATCGACTTGCATGGCACGATTTATCGATTATTCGTTTGGGTTTCAAAAGTAATTTAGTTTAATTTTTATTCACGTTACACTATGCCTTTTTTCTATAAACAAGTTTATTTAAAAGATTACATTTAACTTACGAGCTGGCTGTGCTTTGTAACTTAATGTCAACTACAACTATGTTATTTTTAGCAGCTTTATGCCGCCACCAACGGCCCAACCGATGCTCCTGGCCCACAGCCACATACAGCTTGGTGCCATCGGCATTGAAAGTCAGGCCGTTTATGAAGCCCGCAATGGTTATTGTTTGAATCGGCTGCAGCTTGCGCGCATTAGGATTGCTTTGCCATAGTCTGACGCAGCCATCGCAAGAGCCTAAAATACAAAAAACATTTAAAATTCAGGCTTTAAATTTGTTAGTGCTCTAGCCGCACCTGTTGCCACCAGATCCGTATTAACCACAACGGCAATGGCTGTTATCCAGTTGGCTACGCCATTCTCGCCCTTTCCATGCGCCAGTTGCGTTGTGCAAATTGGCTTCTTCTTCAAGGCGCTCCACAAGCTAATGGCACTGCAAAGAGTATGAGCGTATATATCAATAATATATAAGTAATTAACATTTTCTGTCCTAACCCATCAACGCCGCCAGAGACGAAATGCTCATCATTAATCAGCTTGACACATTCAATGCCATCTCTGTGTCCGTTGTAAATCAGCTGGGACTCTTCGGTAATCTTCCAAATGCGTAACGAACAATCTGAACCGCCTGCGGTTATAGCACGCTCCCGACTCAGTGCATCTATGCTCGTGACAGCAGTCTGGTGTCCAAACCTATATTAAATTGTAATTAGATTGGAATCCAAACTAGGTTTCCTTTTGGCGCACACTCACAAACTCTCCACGTAGGCCAACTCATCCACAGACCAAATCTTCACTGAGCGATCCTTGGCCGCCGAGTACAGCTCGTGTGTGCCCTTGCGAAATACCAGACCCGTGACATTATCCCTGTGACCCTTGAACGTTTTTACATGCTTCATGGTCTGTGGACACCAGATCTGTATGTGGGGGCCGCCCTCGGCTAATGCCATATACTTCATGTCTGTGGACAGGCAAATGGCAATGACATGCGATCTGCGCTTTTTATTCGTTTCGGGCTCCTCGCGATGCGGCAGCACGTCGCCTCTGTCCAGCACTTTCCCACTCTCCGTGCACCATTTGAGTACATATTGCGACTTTGCGCCCGTGTAAAGGTATTTGCCATCTGCGCTGAGAGCTAGAGCGCAAAGCGGCGTGTGGTGCACCTTGTGCTTCAGCACGCTCTGGATTGTACACGATTGGAGGCCAGCAGCTATGTTGCGACGCAATCGCCCCACACTATCCAAATACTCGGTTTGTAGACGCTGCTCCACACTCTGGCTCAACTCGCGATGCTCGGCACGCTCCGCCTCCTGTTTCTCAATTTCAGACAAATATTGCTTGGCCAGACGCAAACGTTTGTCTTGGGGTGTTTCCTCCTCTTCCTCGTCGGCGGAGAACGCTAGAGTGTTGTTGCCCATATCGCTGTTATATTCCTCATCATCACTCGCAATCTCCTCGTCGTCCACCTTGGCGCGTCGTTGTTTTTTTGGCCCTGGAACTGTTGCATTTTGTGATTTTTTTCCCGGTTTAGCGCCGCCTTTGGCTTTCGTTGCGTTAAACTATAACGTAAATTGTCGTCTGCTGAGTTTTGCGTGTATTTCTTTGAGTTATTGGGCTCACCTTGCGCTTTTTGTTGGCCTGTTTGGCGGCGCCTGGTTTCAGAAAAAACGATGAGGACATTTTATGAATTGTAATTTCTAAAATATTTAAACGCTAAACAGGCCCACGTGCATAGTATAACGCGCTTGGTATTTTTTAGACACTGATTGACACATCAGCTGTGTCCATCGTGTAACAGGCTGACTGCTATGCCTTTCAAGTGCCAATACCAACCGGAACGTTATGTAACACTGTAAAGGCGCGCAAGACGAAAATTCAAAATTTTAATTCGTCGTCTTGGTAAATATTTTTTTTCATCTTGCAGTTTTTCTTTGAATCAAACTATATTGAATAAAAACAATTTTGTTTATTGTTATTGCCCGTACGTTTATTGAAATAACTAAGTATTTTAAATATAATATATATATATAACTATTAATATTAATTAAATCAAATGGTTTGAATTCCGTTTTTCATTTATTGTTTCAAATTTAGCAAACACGCATTACATAAATTATAATGATGAATTAAGTTTGATTTGTCTAACTGAATATGTTCTCCCGAGTGTTATAAAATTATCACAAATTATGTATACGTTGATTTCTCGTTTTGTGTAAGTTTTTCTTTTTATTTGCATTATTATGGTAATAAAAATAAATTAAGTGTTGCGCTCTGTGCGCTGCCCAGGCAGGCGTTGGTTGGTTTGGTTTATGAAAGTGGAGGGGAAGTTAAGGTACCTACGGAGAACCAAAAACACGCTATTGACCGCGCGTCTGTAATTGCCTAAAACTAAGTAACGTTCTAAATTAAAATTTTAAGATTGCTAATTATAAAAAACACATTAAGTGAGAATAGGAATAATGGGCATGTGCCCTCTCACTTTTACATGATCGAGCACAGGCCCGACGTTTCGACGCCATTTTGCACTTTCTTCGTTTTCTTGAGCGTCACCTGTCGCAGCGCCGGCTTCAGTTCGATAACAGGCTCCGGCTCAGCTTCAACTGCAGCGGGTGGTGGTGTTATCGACTTTTGCGCAGCGGCCGTCGTTGCTGAGCCGCCGCCGCCGCCGCCACTGCTGCTGCCAGTTGATGCTGCTGGCGCGCCCAGCGATGATGTTGCTGTTGTTGTTGTTGTTGTTGCTAGTGTGGGCAAACGTGAGTTGACATTATTGTTGTTGTTGCTGCTGCTGCTGCCGTAGCTGCTGCCAATAACCGAAATGGAACTAATGTTTGCAGGCGGCGCATTAATGCAGCTGCTGCTGTTGCTGGTGGCAATCTTCGGCACAAACGTGTTGCCTCCGCACAGCACTGGAATTGTTGAAATTGTTTGTATGGAATTCTGCTGCTGATGCACATCGGAATTTCCCGTGGCGCCAATGACACTTATGGCCGACACTTGCGAGTCCGTTGCTGCTGCTGCTGTTGCCGCTGCCGACGTCGTCGTTGTTGTTGAGGCACTATTATGACTATTACTACTTGTATTCTTAGTGATATTTATTTTTATTTTATTAACTATGCTAGCCAAAGGTAACGCCGGCCCCGGTCCCGCTGCGCTCAGATTATGCGTCTCCTGTGGATTCTCACCATTAAATTCAGCCTCGCTGTTGCCTGTCATCGCATTGCTTGGCTCCAGTTCCAGATCATCCTCATTGGCCGTCATAGAAAGCGATGTTACCGAGGCGGGACGCTCCAGGGTTGCCGGCGAGGCGGTTGAATCGATAGTCTGGGTTTGAGTTTCTGAGCATAGTCAAGAAATGTTCAGTTAGAATCAGCATGGGAATATAAATATATATATATATATCTAGATAGAGTACTTACCACTGCTTAGTATAGATATTTCATCTTCTGGCAGTGGCAGCAATTGTACCACCGTGCCCACATCCTCAAAGCCGTCATCTTCGTCCTCTTCGTCATCATCTTTGGGCTCCTCTTTGATTTTAACATTAAGCATTGGCACTGGCTCTTTTTCTACGTAGGTGTCCAAATCGGTAAAGGGAATGTTTGGCTCCTGTATCTCTACATCTGACTCATTGGCATTCTCTGCCCTTTGTTGTTGTTGTTGTTCTTCATCCTTTTGTTGTTCGTTCTGTTGCTCCTGTTCGCTAGAAGTTGCTGACATTGTTGGCTTCTCACTTGGCGCCTCTGTCTCTGGTTCGGCAGTCACAGCCATCGGCACATATTCATCATCATCGTCGTCGACGATTTCTGTAACACTCGGCTCCTCATTAGGCAGCACAATGACATCGTCATCATCGTCATCCAGCAGCATGGTTGATGTCTTATTGGCATCATCTGTGAGGCGGAGGTAAGACATTGGATTAGTATGGACATGGTACCGCTTAAATAGGGTGCACTATTGGCACTCATAAATGAACTTCTTAATTTCACTTAAAACTTACCCGAGTCATCCTCCAGCTTGATAAGCGTATCCATGGCATTGTCATCGCTGGCATTAAGCATATCCATATCCCCATTGGTCGTGGAATCATTTACTGCCGCCGGCGGATTAAGAGACGCCTTGTAGTCTTCATAGCACAGAGGATGATAGATTTTCTCGTCCACCCGTATAGCCGAGCGAAGATGCCATTCCTCCAGCTCTTCGTTGTAGAACTGTTCGAATTTCTCGTGACACATATCACAGCCGCGATCCAAATCATCCGTGCCAGCGGCACAGCTGGGCACGGGTGAGTCCAATGAACGCTGCTGCGACACCTCATCGATGGCATCGGGTCCCAGTTGCTGACCCTGCGCCTCCAGGAAGTTCCTTTCACGCTCCTCCACATCCTCAATTTCTTCGTATTGCCGCCAATCATTGAGATCATAAAACCAACGTCTGGACGTTGCCTTGCGCGTCGAGTCACGTTCCCGCCGATTTTGTCGGAAATGCCAGTCCAAGTGTTGGCTATACTTGATGGTCTGCTCAGGCGGGAAGCGTACACCACAGCTGCTGCACTGCATGCCCAAATATAAGGTGGCTATAACAGCCGACTGTCGCGTCTTGATTGTTTCTGGTTTGTGAAGTTCAATGCGCTTAATGGGCTCCGTGGGCGGTGCAGCAGGCGCAGCTGCTGCTGCTGCTGCATTTGCATCTTTGCTGGAGCTGGAGGTCGTCTCCACAGCAGGTGCTTTGACGGCGCCGCTACTGCTTGCAACAGCAGATGTCGCTGATCCACCAATTATGCCAGACGAGACGAGTTTCTGGAAGAGCTCATCAATGTTGAGATTACCTAGAGCAGCTGCAGCCACGGGCAGTGGGACTGCGGGAGCTGGAGTTGTTGTTGGAGCCGCTGCTGGCTGCTCGGGCGTCGGAACTGCTGGCGGTGCTGCGGCTGCAATCACGGGCACTGGCAGTGGCGGCGGCTGTGGAGGCTCCGCTGGCGCCTCGGTCTTAATGTACACCATATCCTGAACATGCGCCTTGCCCGCCTGCACTCCTTTGGGCAATGTGCCAAAGCGTATGAAACAATTGCGGCCACCATTTAACTTCATGCTCTTGGGCAAGCCGCCATATTCTAGCTTCTGGAGCTGCCCATCGAGCAGCGCATACAAGAAACTGTCCACAAATTGCAGAGAATGCTGCTCGGCGCCCAAATGGAACGTCTGCTGACGCCCGTCCAGGAAGAGCGGCACTATTGTGTGTGCATCGACAATCATGTTGATCTTGCCTACAACCAGATCCCGGCGCACGCGGCCTATGTCCACATTGGGGGGTGGTCCCTCCGCCTTCAGTACGTGCAGTTTGTTGCCAATCGGCAGGGAAACGGGCGGCCCACCAAAGTAGATCTCATACCAGTGCTCATCGATATATAGCTCACGGGAGGGATGGCCAAAGCGTATGCGATGCAGTTGCCCATCCAACTGAAAGGGCTTGTAGTCATCGTTGAAGCTCAACGCCAGCGGCTCATTGTGATCAATGTAGATGGCACGCTGGCCATGCTGAAAGCCAATCTCGTGCGGCTCATCGCCATCCATGAATATGATGGCCACCTGGTTATAAAAGCGTATCTCCTTGCTGCCGCCATCGATGGTTATGCTGCGCACCACATCCGCCATCGGATTATCCAATGAATTAATGGCCTTGGTTATGCTTACCGGCGGCACAGGCGGTAGTGACAGCATTGAGGGCGGCTGCGGTGGTGGTGGCACCGCAGTTTGTGTCATAACCAGCGGTGGATGCTGCCATGGCATGCCGCGAAAACCACCGCCGCCACCTCCGCCGGCTGCCACATTGCCTCCTGCCATGCGCTTGTTGTTGTTGTTATTATTATTGTTGTTCTGGGCCAGCTGCCAAGCGGCTCGTTGTGCTGCCGCCGGATCCACCTGCTCGCCCCATTTGCTAGGCTTACGCCGCTTGCCATCACGTTTATTCTTCTGCTTGGGCGGCTGCTGTGGTTTTTCGGGCATGGCCTGCGCCGGCATCAGCTGCTCCTCGTAACGTGGCTCACCATCGCTGCGCGGCGAACTGGAGGCGTGGTTTTCATTGCCCTTCAGTTTGGGTATGCGCTTACGCAGCACCGCATCGCGTGCGGCATTGCGTTCCATATCCTCATCATCGGCGGCCTCGCGGCGTCGCTCCTTCAATTTACTGCTCTCGCTCATGACCACCACCTTGCTGACTAGCTCTTTGTATTGTTCCTGATTCATTCCGTGATTCTCGAACATCTCCTGCGCCTGGCTGAGAATCGTGCGCATCTTTTCGTCGTGCGCCTCCTGCGAGTCATCGTTGGACTTTAGCTCCGACAGCTGCTTAATACGCTGCGCCATGGGATGCTCTTTGGATTTTTCTGTGATGGGAGTTTACAAATTTGATAAGTTGTAACCGAAGGGAATTGTGCTGCCCAACCACTTACCCTTAGATATCTTGTTGTTGTGACGCACAGTCTTGGCCAATTTGGCGCGTAGTTCATCCAGCGTGGGCTTTTTGACGGGCGACGAAGGTTGTTTGGCAGTTTGCTAAAGAAGATTGGGAAACGTTTTAAAACAATATAAATATACTAGCGGGCATATCCCGGCCTTGCCCGTGGCACGTATGTTAAAAATCAACGTTCTCAAAAAGCTTTGAAAATGATTTTTAAATTTATCGGACGGTAAACATACACAAACGTTTTCCGCCAATTTACCAATGTTGCGGGTGGAATTTCCCAAATCGCTGAAATACGTATTTATTAAGTTCTTATGTAGAGCTTTGAAAATAAAATTGAAGCAAATCGGACACAACTTAAAACTTCGCCCAAAAAATCTCCAAATCGCATTTCCCCCGAAGAAGTTTGAATTCTGCGAAAAGTGTGAAATACGTCTCCAATGATTTTTCTTATAGATTTTTGGAAACGAATTTGAGCGCGAAACGTCACCCACCAAATCTTTGACCTCCATTTTCACCAAAGAGGAATGGATTTTCCTAAAAGTGTGAAACACCCCTCAAATGAATTTGAACAAAGATCTTTGAAAATAAGTTTGGGCCGATCGGATGGTAAGCAAAAAAGTTACATACAAACTTTATTCGCGATTTTTCCACACTTGCGGGTGGAATTTCCCGAAACCTCGTCTTACCGTGCACCTACATCACATAAGGTAGCTACAGTGCAAATTTCAGCTTCCTAGCTCTTACGGTTTGGGCTGTGCGTTGATCACCAATCAGTCAGTCAGTCATGACAAACAGTTTTATATATAGAGATAATTACTTCAACTAGTTGAATGATTGACCGACTAACTGATGGATGATAAATGCCCAATAAAAACCTTAAGAGCTATCAGGCTAAAGTTTCCCAGAAATGTTCTCCCTTTTTTATCTAAATTTTTTAACTTTGATAAATTTCCTTTCGATTATAGAAATGTCAAGGCTTAGCATGAATAAGAAATTAATGTGTGTTTCTCCGAAGTTGGAATGTTCATCACATTACATTTATAAACACTTTAAGCCAGCAAAGTAGTTTACATCATACACACCTTGTTGGCCTCCCAATTGTCCATAGAGTCATCTTCGACGACAATAACGGCACCTGGCACAATAGTATTTGGTTTGACAGGCAACTCGCGTCGCAAATCGACATCCTCGCTGCCAAAGAGACTGAAAACGAAGAGTGGAAAAAATAATTAGCTTGGGGTTAACTTTAAAGATTTGTCTGTACTTACGCATCCAGTTTGGTGGATTTGCTGCGTTTCTGTTGTGGTTGCTGCTGTTTATCCTCCTCATCGGTATCGCCATCGGGCGGCAGCTGACCAGCTGAACGCTTCTCACCGGCGCCCTGCGACAGCTGCTTGCCAAGAGACTCCGATGACGCGGGCGCTGGCGAGGATTGTCTGACGCCGGTCGCGTTCGTGGCGACTGTTGCTGGTGCTGCTGTTGTTGTTGCTGCTGCTGTTAGCATTGTTGCTGTTGATAAATTCGCTGTAGATTTTTCTAATTTATTAAACGGTTTTTGTATTTTGAACGACACTTTTGTGGGCAATTTGGAGGAACTGTTCGAAGCGTTGGAGGCGCTGCTAGCATTTGGTGTGCTGCTGGTGTTGTTGTTCTCATTGCGGCTGCTATCTGACACGGTTGCTGGAGTTGTCGATTCTGGCGCTTGGTTGCCGATTGTTATAATCGGTGGCGGCGGCGTTGCTAGCCTGACAGTAGCCGACAATTCGGCCAATTTGGCAAATGGCCGCAAATCGACGTCCTTGCAAGATGCATCTAAATGCGGCGAGCTGGAAGCAGCTGGAGGCGGACGTGGGCCTGGTTCAAGTATGTGAAATGTATCTAGAAATTGGTATTTTATGCTTGCAAAACAGAGTTCTTACAGCAAACAAAAAAATAAGGAGCTTGTGTGCCAAAGAGTTAAAATTATAGGGCCTATATACAATACTAATCAAAATAGGATTTGAAGAAAATTATAATAAGAATGTTTTTAGAAGAATAATTGAAAATCATAAATATGGGCGGGGCATCAACATACACCAGACACAGCAATTGAGCTAGAAAAATTAGTGGAAAATCATAACAAAATAATAAAACTATTCTATTTGCAGTTGGGTTCCGTTAAGGAAACAGGTTAGATTAAATAAAATAATAAAAAAAAAAACAACTAAAAATGGGTCTACAAATTTAAATTACGAATTAAAAGTGCCGTTCTACAAATACAAAAATAAATCATAATAGTAAAATAAATTATAACATATACAAATATATATGTACATATTTAGCGAGACGTATATCATGTATACAACTACACAATACGCTTAAATAAATTATTATTTTTTTAATGGTGTTTTATAAAATATTTACGTTTATGTCAAAAGTTAAAAATTATTTACGTTTGGTTTGGGTTTTGTTTTTCTTTTTTGTCAGACGTTTACAACAAATTAAAACTGCAGTCTTTATTTCTTCTTAGTTTTTATCAAAACTGATATATAGCATATATCATTTTTATCAGTTACAACAATTTTATCACAAGTATTTATCACGCTTTTAAACTTCGTTGTTTTTTTTTACAATTACACAAAGTAAATGGACTTAAAATTACACCAAAGGCGGCACCTGGCTACGTTTTGCATTAATTAAAACAACTGGAATGCAAAAGGTTTTCAAACGCATTTTATTGGATTTTTTTAGTTCTTGTTTTTATCTTTAATTTGAACTTTTTTGGTATTTGCTCTTAAGTATTAAAAAAAATTTGCATAATTATCATAGGTTTATATAGTTTCGGTTAAAATTTGGAAATATAAATTTAAAAAGATTCTATAAAATAGTCCCAGAAAAATCGGTTCAAGTGAAGCAACGTGTGAAAATAACTCACCAAACAATTCGATGCAACGCCTTCGAGCCCAAGAAAACGGTCGAGAAAATTAGAAAATAACACAGAACGACAGAAAAAGTGATAACCATGAGGTTATCATCAATCGGTATGTCCAAAACTTTTTAGAGCAAAGCGCAAAAGTTATAAAATTTAACTATATATGTTTATACATATATAGTTCCATTTTTTTTTTTAGTTTTGTGAAGAGCCTAAGGATTGAGATCTTTAAAGCATTTAACTAGAGCTTTAAGACAACGTTGATACATTGTTAAAGTTTTTTAAATTTTATATTAAAACCTTTTCATTGAAAGAGTTTCAATCAGCTTTAAGCAAATGCTTTGACTTTAAGGTTGTTTTAAGTATATAGATTAAGAGCTTCTTGCACTTTGCTTATTATTTCTTGGACAAATGAAGGATGAACTGTTTGAAGCAGCATTTCCAATGAGATCAACACTTAACACCCACACCCACAACAACCCCAACCTGACCCTGTTGCCTGAGCCTTGGGTGCCGCCAATTTGGTTTGTAATTTCTGCATATTTCAACTACTTTGTTATATGTGTTACTAATCATGTCGAGATCGACTTGGCTGTTGGCTAACAAGTGTGAGATTAGAATTAAAAATTGTTTCTTACGTTTCTCTAAATCATTTGCGATGACGGCGTTAACTGGAGTTGTCGCTGTTGTGGCCGTGGCGTCTGCTGCAGCTGCTGGAGCTACTGTTACAGCTGGTGTTGTCTTCGTTGGCTCTGGTGATTTGCTGCGCTCCACGCTGCGCATGTCCACATCCAAGTAAATTGGCGATCGACTGCGCGATCGCGCATTGCTGGTGCCACCGGATTTGCTGCGGCCGGTTATAGTTTTGTGTGTGGCATTGCGCTTAGATTTGGCTGGTGAGCTAGCGGGTGAGCTGCTCTTGCGCTTACTGATTGCCGGCGAACCGCCATTGTGTGCATTGCGTTCGTTATGCTCCTTGCCCGAATGCTTGTCGCGCGAGCTTGACGTACGCTTGACAGGCGAGACACTGCTGCTGTTGCCGCCCTTGTGCCTGCCATCAGAGCCAGAGGATGATGTTGAGGCAGTAGAGCTTTTGGATTCGCTTCGCTTTCGGTTGCTTGAGGAGCTGTGATGATTACTGCTGCTGCTACCTAACTTGCTGGAGCGGTTGCTGCCTGTGTTGCGCAGGGGTGATTTGCTGCGCGATCGACTAGATTTGTGTGTTGTTGTTGAGGAGCTGGAGGGAGCGGAAGTTTTGTGGTTCTCGAGGCGTGGATCCAGTGCACGCATGGGCGCTGCCATTTGTGCTGACTGTTGCGGCTGCATTTGGCGCGCCAGGCGCGGATCGCGCGGACGTACCGAATTGAGCATAGCCGGATTAACCGGATGCACTTTTGGTTTGTTGGCAAAAGGCTGCGAATAGACAGATATTAGCTATGCTTGATTTTTGTTTACTCAAGCAAAACCTACCGGTTGTCCAATTATTGGAATCATGCCGCCGGCCGCAACAGGCGCCATGGGACGCACGTGGCGCATGCCGCTGGGATACATGGGAGCCGCCACAGTTGGTGGTATGACAGTTTCCATGCCTGGTGGACGCAGTACGGATACGGGAGCAGGCATGCCGATTGGCGCTACAGCAATGGCATCTGCTGCTTGACTTAGTTGACGCTCCTGTTCCTTTAAATGCATTTTAGTTTGCTCCAATTCAAGTTCCAGCTTGCGCTTCTTGAGCTCCAGCAGCTCACGAGTTTTGGCCTGTAATATCTCCTCCATGTCTCCAGGCAGGGCCGAGTTCACCGGCATAGGCACCATGCCCTATGGATACACACGTGATTAGCTAACTTTCTTATCTTGGTTTTTATTTTTGTGCCTCTAGACTTACCGTCTTCAGAAAATCGGGATTGACATGAATGGCAGGATTAACGTGTATTTTGTTTGGCTGACTTGGTTTGGCAGTAATCGGCCAATTGTTGTCCAGACGTTTGACCTTAACATCTAGGGCATACATTTTGGATGGCGGGAACACATCGTTCCAGGTCTGCCGGAGCAGATACATGCGCTCACGCACTTTCTCCAGCACCTGCGATGGCGAGTGTTGTACCTAAGTATTGGGGATTCAATGATTAGTTTAATTAATTTACAATTAGTTTTAGTGATAAGTTTGTGACTTACCGACTCGAAGGCGTTGAGAAATATGTTGACTATGCATTGCCCAAACAGCTGAACGTAGCTGCTTTTCACATTCTTAATTATTGAATCAATTAAATATAGTATGGGCAATTTGAATTCGGGCGGCACCTGTTTGATTTGGTAAGATAGGTAAGAATAAATAGAACATAAGTTTCTACAACGTCGCTAGCGAAGTGTGTGGACACAGATTGAGGCACATCATCATCAACATCAATTCACTTTGTCCTGGGTCACGATTGACAATCATAATGACTACGACGACGACAACAGCAGCTGCTGCACACAAATGCATCTCCATGTTGTAGGTGGGGGCAGATGAGCAAAGCAAAGCCTTAGCCAAAAAACTACATAAATTAGAAGGGGGCAGTAACTACCAATTTGTGGAATTCTCAATGAAACCCAACGAAAGAAACGCCCTAAAACAAACCATAAATACAATATCTTCGAGTAAAAAATAATTTTGTATAAATGAATTATACGAAAGTATCCTAATTATAATTTAACTTTGTTCCATTGGAAAACGATAAATACATAACTTTTGAAGAAACCAAATATGTCATATAACAAAATCTTAAAAATCTAGATTTTGAGAGACATAACCTTCCTAGGATATCAACAGACTTTGAGGTAAGGTATCGAATAATATCACCTAGGTGCAACGTAGAGGTATTAAAAGGGGTTAAAGAGTTAATGCCGTGTACTTTTGAAGTTAAATACATTACTGATTTGTTTGCCTCAGTATCCTTCTTGCCGAAATTTCTTCTTTCTTTTGCTATACACAAATCGCTGCGTGTCAGGTATATGTTATTATGTTTTGTTTGTTTTTTGTTTTTCTTTTCAAGCAATGTTTATTTCTTGAATAAAATAAAAGACGACTTGATGACAATTGTTTAAGTATTTTCTCTTTTATTGCAATTTTCTTTTCGATTCTTTTGTGTATTTTATGTACTTCAAGGTATCGAGGAAAAAGAAGAATAGAAGTATATAGTAAACGTCTTACCTTGTAGAGGATAAATCAGTCTCTGCTTAAAGCCCAAATAAATATTTTAAAAGGAGTTACTATAGTATCTATTTTACAGTTTAAACGGCAAAACCAATGGATATTAGTTTCGCTGAAACTAACATAACGTTCATCTATTGGTTTTTTGGCTAAACATCCTTATTTGTCCTAAGAAAACGTGTGCTTTGAGGTAGTTCCAAAGAAAATCTGGTTTAAGAGTGTAATATATCTATGATGTGTTATGACGCTTTGGTAATATGCCTACATCGTTGAACACAAAATTCTTAAAGCGAAAAGTCCATCGATATTACTGCCAGCTCTTCATTTTTTTTATAAGATCAATGTTTAGAAAATATATGAATATATAGTGCATATATAAATTCTCTTATCTGTCAGACCTTAACCACGGTTGCCATGAGGTTCAAATAAATAACCTCAGATATTTTATAGATTTAACGGAACAAGGGAACTTTTTCTGAGATTGGTGCCTTCTGTACTTTCTTTTTGTTTTTTTTTTTTTAACATATTACATCTATATACTAACTTCTTTCACCTTTCCAGTCTTTACGTGCAAACATACCAAATTTACAAAGATAATCATCTATGTTCCATTTAAATTAAAGGCATTAAGAACTGAATACGAAATACGTTTGTATAATTTACATTCAGTAACGTTATCCTCACATTTTTTGTAAGATATCTAACCCTGGGGCAACCGTGTTCTAAATTTTTCACACTCATCGTTGTTGACGGCTTTTTAACTGAAGAACTATCGTGTTTTCCTTACGGCACCTAGCACACTTTGGACATGGAGATCATGTGTTAACACAACTGCCGTGCGGTTGGCGGCGGCATTCGTGCGCAGGACTCGGATCACTTTGTTCATGTGTATGTTTCAGTATGTCGGGTGGGTGTGAGTGTGTGTGTCTCTATTTGTGTGGGAGTTGTAGCTGTTTAAGTAATTATGCTTTATTTGTTAACCTGGCTGATGTGATATTCCACCACGCGCACAATGACATGGGCATAGTTGATATTCTCCTCGGCGAGCATGGTGAGCATATTGATGAGCGGCTTGCTATTGCAATTCAAATCCGTTAGACTGGATAAATACTCTTCGCCAATGCGGCGTGCATCCTCCGGATACGATTGGAATATATGATCCATAATCAGGCTTTCTTCTTGAATTCCTGTGGCTTCTCTTATATTCCGTATCACGATTTTCAAAAAAAATGCAGTTGTTAGCTGAAAATGAAGAATTTACAGAAAAAAATAAAACAAATAAAATAATATTTGGCAAATATGCTTCAATTATATATCGCATATGATATACATATATGTTTACACACATATATATGTGTATATATATATATATATACGTTTTCCGCAACATCCCCAGTCATGTGGTCAAACAAAAACATTTTATGACCATACACAGCAAAGATATGATACACACTCAATATATGCCTACATAAAATAATTGTTGATGTGGCTTCGCACCTATGAACACAAAACACATGTAAACAACTACACGCAGCCAACTAAATATATTTATATATATATATGTACATGCACATACATACTGTTCATGGGCAAACAATAAACACACGGGCAACGGGGCTAGGGGAAGTTTTTTTCTCAGCAAATATTCAAAATGGCGGCCACCAGACATGCAAACACGCATTTTTTCACTTTTGCAAATATCATCATTCTTAGACAATTCTATGTTTTATTCACTTTAAACGTTTCAAATTGCCAAAGAGACACTTGTAATCATTGAATTATTTGCTGAACTTAGCATTTTGAGTTTTTTTCCCACATTTTTTGTTGCTGCAGCCACGTTTATACTGTACACGCACACGTTTAGTTATAAAAATACAATTAGCACGCTTAGGACACGCGCAAACATACCTTTTAATATTAATACATTTGTACAATTCGTTTAACGCACTTTAATGAAGTGAAAAATATTTATTAAACACTTAAACTAAACAAAATCAGCCTTTGACAACTTTTTCACGTAACAACTGCGATGAATTTGATGAGTGTGCACTAGTGATGCGAAACGAGTTTGATATTCACATTGACGCGTTTATAAGGCTGATATCGATAGTACTTGAGAATTTGACAAGCAAAAATATCGCATAGGATTTACCAATTTAATATCGATATTGGTCAACTTTCTACTGCAAAGTTGGCAGCACAGCGCCGAACAACCAGCTGTTGATTAATAGGGACAACAAAGGGGCGATAGATCTGGCCAAACCAAATAGTTAATTAAATTTCAAATACAAACTTCGCCAAAAATGGACGAGAGCGAAACTTATGTGCACAGCGCCTACCAGGTATCGATAATTCCAACGGATCTACATCACGAGGAAACTATAATCAGAGCAGCACAGTCGCTCGACTGCCTTAACAAAACAATAAACTCAATTTTCGGCCGCATCGATGCTCGATTAGAAAGAAATGGTGCCAAGGTTCAGCATATAAATGAGCGTGTCATGCGTGCGCAGGCAAAAATTGATGCTCTCGTTGGCTCCAAGAAGTCCATTAAAATCTTTGCGCCCGCACGTTTTCCCGGCAGCGCCATATTAAACAACATACCGGCCACTTTTCCCCCGCTGGTACAAAAGCCAATGGAAACGCCAACAACAACAACAACCACGGAGCTGCCACAGCGCCGGCATCGCAATCGCAATGCTAATTCTTCCAGTGAACAGAACTCCGCCGCGGACATTGACTCGGTATTCTTTCATGTGCGTGGCGAGGATCAGCAAGAGACGCCACTGGTTATGGAGCGCCAGCGCACCAATCGCATAGCCGGCCTGGGGGGCTTGCCAGCTGCGAAATCGGTGCCGGCGCTGATGCGTTTTAATACCAACGATTTTGCCTATGGCGGCGGCATCAATGGCACCGAAGATTTGAACGCTTGGAAACGCGCCCTACCGCCACATAGCCACAAGCGCACCGTTCACAAGCCAAAGCCGATTGGTACGCAGCTTTTGGCGCCGGCGCCACACTCATTGTCTCATGGCACCACAAAGCTGGCAACCCCCGCCGGCGATTTGCGTTATACCCCAGCAGCGCTGGCAGCGCCGGCCATAGATGTGCCACTCGATTTGCCCGATCTACCGGGCATTGCCAATGACTTGCAATACGAGCCTGTCAAGGAGCAGACACCCATTGCGCCGTCGCATCAGTTTGTTGATTTGCCTGAATTGCCCGGTTTGATGGAGCCGGTGGCTGAATTACCTCTGAACTTGGACATAACGGTCCAGGCAATAGCGGCCCAAACGCACATGACCCGGAAAAGTAACCCAACGTTTGTGCCACCAAATATGCTACAAGCTCCACCACCACCGCCGCCACCACCACCGCCACCACCACCACCGCCGCCACCCCCACCCGCTCAACCAGCAGCCAAGCTGCCAACTGATGGAGTTATCAAACCCATATCGCCGTCGTTGGAAACACCTTTAAGCATACCAGATTCTCGTGCACCACCACCAGCCGATCCGCGTTCTGAGCTCATGGCTGCAATACGCAACGCGGGTGGTGTACACGGTGGTCGTTTACGTTCACCCGCCGCTGCGCCTGTCAATGTGGATGCGGTGGACACACAAAATGTACACAACACAAGCCGTTCCAGAGCAGGCGGCGCTGCAACAGGTGGTGATCTCATGGCGGATCTGCACAATAAACTCATGCTACGTCGAAAGGGAATCTCGGGCAGTCAAAATCCTGCGGATCAATCGGGAAATCCCATGATGCTGCAACTGTCGAAAATAATTGCGCCAGTACAGAAGAGTAAAGGTTCCATGTCCAGCGATGAGGGCAATTCCGAGGACGACGAAGACGCTTGGGAGTAGTAATAAATCAATTAGAATTAAATTAGTTCCAGTTATGTGCCTTGCTTTAAGCATTAGTAAAAATTATTAAAAACCATTTTGGGCAGATCGAGCATAACAATTTAGATATTACATTTTTGAGTGTTGCAAAGCGCGGGAACATTTTGCCGAGGTTTGCTTATGCCAATAACCAAAAAACATATGTTTATGTTAGTGCTTATGCCCACATATGTAAATTATCGATAAATACGTATCGATAATAGCAAACCATTAACATATTGCAACGATGTCCAGTGCATCGCGTGATATAAATGATTTGTTCGACGAAATAGTGCTTACCGAGGAGAAACACGCTCGTCTGGGCTATTCTGAGGGCATCAGTGACGGCCGTGCTCAGGGCAACCAGGAGGGCTACCAACTTGGCTACGCTCAAGGTGTGCAACTTGGCGAAGAACTGGGCGCCATTTACGGCCAAGTGGTGGCACAACAGCAGCTACCACACACGGAAAAGTTGCTGCGCACTTTGCAGCAGTTGCGCGAGCTCATCGAGCAGTTTCCGCGGAACAATAACCCAGAGGCTGACATCATTGGCGCTGTGGAGCATATACGCACAACGCATCGGCGACTGTGCGCTTTGCTGGGCACCAAAAAGGTGGCTCTGCAGGAATCCATCACGCACGAGCACAAGGATTACAGTTTCTAGAGGCAACAACATGGATAATGTAGGCGTTGCAGAGTTGCAACACTGCGTCGATGCGGTTTTGTCATTTTTAGAACCGTACTGGAGTTTTGTAAATTGCCACATGGTCAACTACCTAATTGACGATCATTGGGCGCACATGGTGCCCCATCCGCTCAGAGCTGAGCTACAAGCTGTTGATCATGTCCACCAAGCCATAAAAACATTTTTTTCGCAAACTGCTCGTGATTCGCCGCAGTTTCCAGCACTGGCTCAATTTTTGGAAACATGCGAGCGTCACTGTTTGGCCGGTTTCCCGCAACTGTTAACCAGTGTGGAACAACTGGAGCAGCTGCTGCCCGTCACAATGGGGACGCATCTGAGCATTAAAGAATTTATGAGCGCTAAAAAGTGCCATGAGGTGGGTGCCAAATGCTACAATTTAATTAAGAACAGTTTACTTTGGAGTGCCGAAGTTAAATTACCCTTGCAAGCTTAAGCATCATTTGATATACAGTGAAAGCTTTACCAAAGGGCAGCTTTTTTGAGAGGACATCTGACATTTGCATTGACGACAGACACTCATAGCTCTAAAGACTCGCATTTGAATATGAATCCCAAATATCCTTTCTTTTCTCAGGTGGAGCAGACGGCGGCATTGATAAACAAACTCGTCCAAAGCACAACTTCGGAGTCCAGCGCCGAATGCTACATTGTGGATGCTGGCGATGGAAAAGGATACCTTTCGTCGAGATTGGCGCTACAGTATGGACATCGCGTGCTTGGCATTGATGCCAAAAAGTCAAATACTGAAAATGCCCTTGCACGCAATAGCAAGCTGAAGGTATGTTTTTCTATTAGATAATTACACAAGTTTTATTTCATTACTTTTGGGGTCTTAATGCTAAGTTGCTTTTGCTTATGACGTCTTGTACTGAGAATGGCGCCCACTTTAGTGTCGCATTTGTTTAATCACGCATTTCACCCTCCTCGTCGTCATCCTCCATGCCTTTAATGTAGAGCACATTGTTGCAGCGTATCAGCACTTCGCCTAGATTGCCCGTAACGGAGCCCTCGATGACTTCCTCGGTGTTGGCCAGCTGCATGTTCATGTAGCCATCGACAGATACCAGAAAACCTTTGTATTCCTGGCCCCATTTCAGTTTTACGAGCACAGGCTTGCCGGTTAGACCATTTAGAAATGGTTTGGGATTGATGGGCATGCCAGCTGACATATTGTTTGTTTATTTTATCCAACTTTTATGAAATGAAAAAGATAAATACGCGTATTTATTTGCCGGCCAAAACGTTTTCGCGTCGTGCACAGCAAGAAGAAGAAGAAAAGTTGACAGCTGCGGCGTACAGTTGTTGATTAAATATCGATATATCGATAAATATGCGCATTTACGTTAAAGGACCAGTGCTGAAAAGTGTGTTCGTTGTGCTTAGCTGTTTTTATAAATTTGTTTACAACACCTTTTTTTTATGTTTATTTGAATTAGCGCGCCTGGAATGGCCTAACGGAACGCGCCGAGCTACAAAGCCAAGGCATAACACCACCAAGACGCGGCAAAAAGTTGGCCACAAAGGCAACACCAGTAAACATACCAGTTCAGGACAATTACAAAACCACGTCAAGATTCATTACCACAGAATTGAACCTGTGTGATTTATTAAAAGAGCATTTTGTACAGGAGCTGAAAGTAGTTAAGCCCAGAATATGCCTAACGGGTCTACACACCTGTGGCAATCTGGCTGCAACCTGTTTACAGGTCTTTCATGCCCAGGACATCTGTCGCGTGCTGTGTAGTGTTGGCTGCTGCTATCATTTATTGCGCGAACGCTATTCACAGCAAGAATTCTATGGAAACAAGGCATTGATGGAGGAGTCAACTGATTATGGATTTCCCTTGAGCCGTCATTTACAGCAGCGTGGGGTGTGCTTGGGACGCAATGCGCGTATGCTGGCCGCTCAGTCCATTGAACGCACCTTATCGGCCAAGGAGCTACCCAATATAACGATCTTCTATCGCGCACTGCTCGAAATTTTGGTATGCCGCCGTGCACCGCACTTGAAGAACCAATTAAAGGTGGGCAAAGTGCACAAATTCAATAATTTCATTGAATATGTGCAAATTTGCGCGAAGAAGCTAGGTGAGCCCTGGCTGGCAGCTGTAGGAGAAGCAGAGTTAGTGGCGTTGCTGCAGCAGCACGATACAGATCGGCATTATCTGTCCCTATTCTACCTGCTGCGCATGTCCTTTGCGCCGGTGCTGGAAAGTGTGATTCTTCTAGATCGCTTGCTGTACCTCAAAGAGCTGGGCTATGAGCACAGTTATTTGATTGATCTATTCGATGCGGTTATATCACCAAGACACTATGCAATAGTTGCACTTAAGCCTTAAATGCTGAAATGCCACACGCTATAGTGATGATAATTTTAGGTTTATTGAATAGTATTTAAATCGATTGGAAAAACGTGCAATGATACGTCGTATAACTCTTTAACTCAACTTAGATTCATATAAATGTTTTCTATTTTGCTACTTTATAGTAAAACTGTCAATCAAATGTTGTAAAGTGCATAGTAAATATAAAATTACGTCTTGACATCAATCTATGTCTATTAATCAGCTGTTGCTATAGCATTTTATTTTTTATTATCAGCCTTTAACTCGTTGTACCCTGTATATATTGAAAATACGTAGAGGGGTAAAATGAAAGTTTTGTATGAAGAACAGAAAAACGCATATCTGAATTGTACTTATACATTTTCTTGCGGGTGGGTCTGACCAAGTCTGTCGATCGATCAATTTAAAGATACTTATACAAGCTGGGAACTTAAAATATAGAAATAGTATCAGACGCAGCTAATCTATAATGTCCTAAAAATAAATATCTAATAAAAAACTATTTTTCTAGTTAAGTTTGCGTCCTAGTAGCTCAGCATGTGTCGAGAGTGTGCAAATATGCAGGGTAACTGCTAGTTGTGCACTCTCAACTGGAACACTTATACTTTTGTTTGCTTGTAATCTGTTTGTAATCTTTGACAAAGATTTGCCTATAAAATGCACACTAAAATTCAATTTTAGCAAGTGTTGTTCTGGACGCGGCATTTGTCGCATGTCAAAAATTTTAAAATACAAATACAAATCAACTAGGTCAGTTATGTGCAAATTATAATTGTGAAAAATGTTCTTAAATAAAAATTGTAATTTAACTCTTTCTAAAAGGATATACAAGAGCAACGAATATGGATAATAGATTTGAAAATCGTGAGAAAACACATTAGGCTTTAGTGGATACAACCGAAAACAAAAAGAAATAAGCAGAGATATGATTGCCTTTTTAGAGGACCTTTTTTTTTTTAGATCTAAACTCGCGACCCTATCATAAAAAATTCGCTTTCGGGAGTGATTTTAAATTGCAAAAAATTAATTTTAGCTTAAATTATATTTAAACTTTCTTCTGGAGGAGCACACACTTAAAACTTTTCTAAACTGTTTTTTTTTTTGCAATGCGTACAAAAATTTGCAGAACAATATGCAATAAACAATTTAGCATAAAGTTCACCTTTATAAGCCATAAGCCCCAAGCTTGTTGGCCCCTAAACATGAATAACATAATAGTTAAAAATGATTATTGCTCAATTGTATGTCTGATAAGAGCGAAAAGAACAGATCAGTTAAAAATACACAATGTAATACTTTATGTTTGTCCGCCTAAAAATTAATTTAAATTCACGACGGAACTTTTGCAGACCCCGAAATGGCTTTGACGGAGGCGCTTTTTCTCATTGTGGGCGTGCTGAGCGCTATTTACCTGTGGTTCCAGCGCAATCACAGTTATTGGCAGCGCAAGGGCTTGCCCTTTATGCCGCCCTCGCCCATTATTGGCAATACTGCGTCTGTGTTCAAGCAGGAGAGCTCGTTCGGCATGTACATCTCGAAAGTGTACAGTGACCCAAGGATGCAGGATGAGGCCGTTGTGGGCATCTATGTGGTTAACAAGCCAGCTCTGGTCATTCGCGAGCCGGAACTAATTAAATCAGTGCTAATCAAGGATTTCAATCGTTTCTCTAATCGCTATGGACGCTGTGATCCGCATGGCGACGCGTTAGGCTCCAATAATCTGTTCTTTGTGCGTAGTCCGCAGTGGAAGGAGATACGCACCAAGTTGACGCCCGTCTTTACCAGCGGCAAGGTTAAGCAAATGTATCCACTAATGTTGGAGGTGGGTAGTCACGACCTTAGGGTTTGGTTAAGTTTGGTAAAGAGAATATTTAGAACTCTGGGCTTTGATCAAACCCGATTTGCAGTCTTGGTTTAAGATACGTCCAAACAAACCTAAGTTTAACAATTTATAGATAGCTGCGGATCTGGAGTCACATTTGGCCAGGCATCGTCCAGCACAGGGTGCCGAATACATAACAGAAGTCAAGGACATATGCGCAAGATTCACCACGGATTCAATTGCTACCATTGCATTCGGGGTGCGCGCAAACAGCTTGGCAAATCCCGATGCTGAGTTTCGCTCCCAGGGACGTAAGGTCCTCGAGGCCAGTCTGTCGCGCAGCAAGGATTACTTTGTTGCCTTTTTTATGCCAAAGTTGGTGTCGTTTCTTCGCATTAAGTTCTTTACGGAGGAATATTCGAATTTTATTCGCAACACCATCAACCATGTGATATCGGAGCGGGAGCGCACGGCCACTGTGCGCAACGATCTAATTGATGTCCTAGTTGGTTTACGCAAGGAGGCAGCCCTGGAGCCCAGCAAGCCGCATCTGGCCAATAACAATGACTTTTTAGTTGCTCAAGCAGGTGTTTTCTTCACGGCTGGGTTTGAGACCAGCTCATCTACAATGGCTTTTGGTCTGCTGGAGCTGGCCAAGCAGCCGGAACTGCAGGAACGTCTGCGCCAGGAAATCAATGAAGCTTTGGTGGAGGACGGAGGCAAGTTGAGCTATGAGAAAATCAATTCACTGGGATACCTAGCCATGGTGGTCGATGAGGTGTTGCGCCTGTACCCAGTGCTGCCTTTTCTGGATCGCGAATATCAGAGCATTCAAGGCCAGCCGGATCTGTCTCTCAAGCCCTACTATGATTATAAGTTGGAGAACGGCACGCCTGTTTTTATCCCTGTTTATGGACTACAGCGTGATCCCAAGGTATGTTTGTGGAACTTGGCACCTGCTCAGATGGATAGACAAATTTATGATCTAATCTCTTACAGTACTGGCCAAATCCGCATCACTTTGATCCCGAACGCTTCTCACCGGAGAATCGCAAATCTATTGAGCCCATGGCCTATCAACCCTTTGGTCTGGGCCCGCACAACTGCATTGGAAGTCGTATTGGCCTGCTCCAGGCCAAACTGGGTCTGGTGCACTTCCTCAAGAATCATTCTGTGCGCTGCTGTTCGCAGACTCCCAAGGATATTAAATTTGATGCCAAGACCTTTGTGCTGCAGCTGGATAAGGGCATGTTACTAGAGATTGTGTACGATAGACTTTATGATGAAAATGCTGTCTGATTTAAGCTTTACGAAATAAATTTATGTTGTACGTAATTTAAGAACTTCAATTATTATTAACTTTGTAATAAGCGGAATAAATATGGTGATAATAAAATAAAATTGTACTATCTATAATTAAATTTTGCCTTATCTTATAAAGAACAACTTATCCTTATCTAGATTTCGTTTTATTTTCTTTTTTACTTTTGTAAAAAAAAAATTTGTGTGTTGATAAGTGTTTTTGTTCGTTATTATGTCCAGAAATCGCTTTGTTATACTTATTAGAGAGTCGTTTAGGTCAGTGATTTGTATACCCTGAATCCGTAAAAAATGGGCTAAAACGGTATAATGTATTTGAGCAAATTTCTGTAACAGGCAGAAGAAATTATCTCCGACCCCATAAAGTATATATATTCTTGATCAGCATCAATAGCCGTCTGTCTGTCCGCCTGTCCGTCCGTATGTATGAACGCATAAAAAATAATCTCTTAGGTTTTTAGAGCTACAGTCACCAAACTTGACATGTAGCTTCTAGAATAGTATGTATATATCAAGTATATTTCGTTTTATAGGTATCGCCAACACCTCGCTACCACCCCATAGCTATAAATCAAGTAAAAACACCAATTGGCCACCAATTAAAGCCACAATTTCAATGCAATTGGGTTTTGAGAATATACAAATATTCTACAGCACAATAATATCTACTGTTGAAAATTTCATCAAGATCGGTTGAGAAACACAGAAGTTATTACAGAAAATGTGTTTTGGCTGCCGACGTGAAATTTCTATTTACATGTACACATGTACGCGAGTTTCTATATACATGTACACACACACACATTCACGTGCGTCTTTATTGAAGTCTATCAACAGCCTTGCAATTGCGATTGTATTGTTTTCTGTGCTGTGTGCATGTGTTGCTATATTAATTTTTTATTTTTCCGCTAGGAGACAATTGGTGGTATGGCTGTTGAGTAGAGGCGGTGGCAAGTAGAGTGGTCTGTTACGGGATCGAGTCTTATTGAAGAAATTGAAGAAATATTTGAAAAGAGTATACTTTTTTATGTAACTTTATGACACTGGCCGAAGAAAGCATATACCATATATATATATATATACTAATATGAAATATATCAGACCCAGATCATGTTATATGTTTATTGCCTGAAAAAAAGTGCAATAAGAAAAGGTTTTCTGAACCCAAAAAGCATACACACATTCTCGAGCTGAATGAAGTATATGTTTTATAAAATTATCTTTCTATCCTTTAATTAATTTAATTTTCTCCATTAAGTCTAAGAAAAGAAGACCCACAGCTGCAGTCGAAAGTGACGAGATTGTGATTTGTGTGTGTAGGCAAAGAATTAATTACATGGTATCTCGTAGTTTAGCACTTTTAAGTAGAGCACTTGTACTTGATTACGATTGTGCTTTTTGTAATTTTTCAAACAAGATTTGCCTATAAAAGCGCGTACTCAGTCAACTTTTTGCAAGTGTTATTCTGGACGCGCTAATTGTCGGTACTTATGATCACGCAAGGAAATTTTTGAATTATCAAAACTATCTATTAGGTCAGTTTGTGCAAATTAGAAGAGTGAAGTGTGCTTAAATAAGAGAAGTGCAATTAAGGACTCAATCGGATGGATAATAAATTAGAAAGGAGGCAGGAAAAACAGTAACCAAATGGAAATAAAAAAAAAAAGAAACTATTGAGGATTCATCACAGATGAATTATTGCTTATTGAAAGAATTTTCTTTAAAGCCATAAATTTATTTTAAAGATATAAATAATAATTTCTAGATGTGATTTTTTTATGATAAATCCAAATTTATGTAAAATTAAGTTTCCATAACAAAATTTAGTTTTTAAAATAAACTTAATTTGTTATGAAATTAATCTCATATAAACATTTTAGGACTCTTTTACTGCAAACAATATTTCATACATTCAAAATTTCTTTACACCACGAAACAACAAGAAACTACTTTTTCTTAAAAAAATTAAAACAAATTTAAATCAATTTTCTGAGATTTTGATCGCTAGACTAGTGCAAATTTTACAAAATATAATCAATAAAATGTAATAAACATGTTAGCCTATAGTTCTCCTTGATGAACGCCAAGGTTCTCGGCTCCCAAATCAGCTTGGCTTATCAATGTGAAAAATAAAATGTTTAACTAATACATGAGTTTAAATTAGCTCTGCTTCCGTAAGGCACGTGTCTGTCTGATTAGGGAGAAAAGCGTTTGTTTTGATTGCCCAAAAATGAATCCAAATTCACGCCGTAACTTTTGCAGACCCCGAAATGGCTTTGACGGAGGCGCTTTTTCTCATTGTGGGCGTGCTGAGCGCTATTTACCTGTGGTTCCAGCGCAGTCACAGTTATTGGCACCGCAAGGGCTTGCCCTTTATGCCGCCCTCGCCCATTATTGGCAATACAGCGTCTGTGTTCAAGCAGGAGAGCTCGTTCGGCATGTACATCTCGAAAGTGTACAGTGAGCCAAGGATGCAGGATGAGGCCGTTGTGGGCATCTATGTCATCAACAAGCCAGGTCTGGTCATACGCGAGCCGGAACTAATTAAATCCGTGCTAATCAAGGACTTCAATCGCTTCTCCAATCGCTATGCACGCTGCGATCCACATGGCGATCCGCTGGGCTACAACAATCTGTTCTTTGTGCGCAACCCACATTGGAAGGAGATACGCAGTAAGCTGACGCCCGTTTTTACCAGCGGCAAGGTCAAGCAAATGTATCCACTAATAGTGGAGGTGGGTAGTGCTGACTTTTAATCATGGCTGGGGCATTAACTGGCTAAGATCGGAACCGTCTTACAGCCTTGGTTTAAGTATCACCCAACCAAATTTAAGTAAAACCATTTTTAGATAGCTGAGAATCTGGAGTCACATTTGGCCCGGCATCGTCCAGCACAGGGTGCCGAATACATAACAGAAGTCAAGGACATATGCGCAAGATTCACCACGGATTCAATTGCTACCATTGCATTCGGGGTGCGCGCAAACAGCTTGGCAAATCCCGATGCTGAGTTTCGCAACCAGGGACGCAAAGTCCTTGAAGCAACGCTGTTGCGCTGCAAGGATTTCTTTATAGCCTTCTTTTTGCCAAAGTTGGTGTCGCTGTTTCGGGTTAAGTTCTTTACGGAGGAATATTCAAATTTTATTCGCAACACCATCAACCATGTGATATCGGAGCGGGAGCGCACGGCCACTGTGCGCAACGATCTAATTGATGTCCTAGTTGGTTTACGCAAGGAGGCAGCCCTGGAGCCCGGCAAGCCTCATCTGGCCAATAACAATGACTTTTTGGTGGCACAGGCGGGTGTTTTTTTTACGGCTGGCTATGAGACCAGCTCATCTACAATGGCTTTTGGTCTGCTGGAGCTGGCCAAGCAGCCGGAACTGCAGGAACGTCTGCGCCAGGAAATCAATGAAGCTTTGGTGGAGGAGGGAGGCAAGTTGAGCTATGAGAAAATCAATTCACTGGGATACCTAGCCATGGTGGTCGATGAGGTGTTGCGCCTGTACCCAGTGCTGCCTTTTCTGGATCGCGAATATCAGAGCATTCAAGGCCAGCCGGATCTGTCTCTCAAGCCCTACTATGATTATAAGTTGGAGAACGGCACGCCTGTTTTTATCCCTGTCTATGGACTACAGCGTGATCCCAAGGTAAGTTTGTGGAACTTGGCACCTGCTCAGATGGAGAGACAAATTTATGATCTAATCTCTTACAGTACTGGCCAAATCCGCATCACTTTGATCCCGAACGCTTCTCACCGGAGAATCGCAAATCTATTGAGCCCATGGCCTATCAACCCTTTGGTCTGGGCCCGCACAACTGCATTGGAAGTCGCATTGGCCTGCTCCAGGCCAAACTGGGTCTGGTGCACTTCCTCAAGAATCATTCTGTGCGCTGCTGTTCGCAGACTCCCAAGGATATTAAATTTGATGCAAAGGCCATAGTGCTGCAGCTGGAAACGGGCATGTTCCTTGAGATCGTTAACGATAGACTTTATGACGAGAAGGCTGTCTGATTTTAGCTTTAAGATTTTCATATATAAGTATTTACGTTGTTCGTGATTGAAGAAATTTCATTATATTTACTTTGTTATTTCTTTATATAACATATTTGATTAAAAATGTTTGTTATTTTACAATAAATATGCCTTAGTTAATAAAGAGCTCTCAGCTTATAAAGAACATCTTATCAATAGGTCTTGTTTTATTTTATTTTTAAAATATTTTGAAAACAAAGTGTTTTGAATTGTTATTATGTTTGGTCTTTGATAATAAATACTACGTAATTTAGACAGCGTTTCGATTGAAGTAAATAAACTGATTAAACTATTATCTTATCTAATCATTTGGAGCCTGAGCTGCTTGAGTCTTGATCTTCAAAGATTAGCAAATTGCGTGCCAGCTCTCGATTTGATTTCTAATCAACTTAAATTCTATAATAGGTAATATGCCATAAAATCTGTTTCAATTACCATTTAAATATCGATTTGGGTTGAAATCACGCGCCAAATTACTTTCGTACAGCGAGACTTCAGGCGCAAAAATTGTCGACTTGATTGATATACATACTTGCATGTGCAGTGTACAGTGCCTGTCATAAAAATGGGAACTTGACGTTTATACAATTCATGAGATACTTATTCATTTTTTTGCAGGCTTATTCAACAAGGATTATAGCCCATTTATGGTAAAGTTTTGTAGGCTCAATATAAAGGATAGGGAGAGCAAGAGAGAGAGAGAGAGAGAGAGAGAGAGAGAGAGAGAGAGAGAGAGAGAGACAGAAGAAGAAGAAAGAAAAAAGAATAAAAAGAGAGTATACAAAAGTATTCAAAATATAATTATTGAAAATTATAATAATTATATGGCTTATGAAGAGAGCGAGAAAGGAATATTATAAATCATGAGAGGGAGAGAGAATGGCGAAGAGGGAGAAAAAAATCAGGATAAGAAGAGAGTTTACAAAATTACTAAAAATAAACTTATAGAAAATTATAATAATTATATGGTTTCTGAAGAGACCAAGAGAGGAAATTATAAATGATGAGAGAGAGAGTGAGAGAAAAATAGTAAAAATTATGAGAGAGATTGAAAGACGTAGGAACATTATAAATGATGAGAGAGAGAGACAGAGAAAAAGTCAGGATAAGAAGAGAGGTAACAAAAGGTCTAAAAATAAACTTATTGAAAATTATTATAAAAATATAGTTCATGAAGAGAGCGTAAGAGGAAAGTTATGAATTGATTTAATATTTTTTCTTAATATCAGAGAATACATTTTTTTTAATTTGTGCTCCGTATACCCAAGTCAGATAGAGTATTAGTATTTGCCATGCCCAACGAAAATCTGCTCTAAAAATCAATCCAAAAACTAATCAAATATTTATTTAATCAGGGAATCATAGTTGGAATGTGCCTAAGATCTACAGTTTTAGAGTCACAAGCATCATACTCAGAATGGCTTTTCGACCTGGCTCTTATTAACTGTGTTTTCCCTTTGACCTCAGTTTTCCTTTTTGGTAAAGTAATCATAGGAGTGAAACAAATGTTTAGATTTATTTATTAGATAGATATAAAATATGTGTTTTTAATCAGATTTTAAGCAAGATTTTAGATTTAGTTGCACACTTCTGTATCCCTTAAATCTTTGACAAATCTATTTTAATTTCTCCCAATTATAATTGTAAAAAAAGGTCTTTATTAGATCTTGGCTAGACTAAGTTCGGGTCTAATGATTTTTTGTTCATCAAAATCAAGTTATGTATTTGATAATTTTAGTAAACGGGGAAATTCTAGACAGCACTTTGACTATTTCTTCCACATGTCGCAACTTTCGATTTGACACGCAAATGGTAGTCAATCAAAATGCATTTGTAATTTTTTCTTGAACAATTTATAATGACAACACACGCGAAATTTCAACTTAGTTTGAAGTCAGTCGCTGACAGGTGAATTGCTGCTGCACTATCCGAACTCCCGACAAACTTCCAAGCTTAAGTAAGTGCTCCTCAAACGCCCAGGGGATCGCGCACGAGCCTCAGATTAATGCCGCCATCGGCCTGTAATATAATCGCCTTGGGATCCAGTTTCATGCGTCGCTGTGTGCGCTCCGAGGTGGTTACCAGATGATTGCGCAGCACATAGACCAAGCCCACCTTGGCTTGGAGGAAGCCATAACGCTCGCCAATGCAGCCATGCGGGCCCAAGCCGAAGGGCATATAGGTGTACGGGGTGTGCAGCTTGCGATTGCTGGCCGAGAAGCGTTCCGGCTGGAATTGCTTGGGTTGGGGATAGTACTGCAAGAGAAGGGAAACGGATTAAGTACAATAGATGCAATAGAAAATATTTCTTAACTAATGTTCAACAGCAGTTTTATAAGTAGTTTGAGAATTTTCCAACATTTTGGAGTACAATACGTAGAAAGGATTAAGAGCAGGATTAGCCATAAGACTAGAAAATTAATTGACTTCAGTTTGAAAGGAGTTTCTTAATGTTTTGAACGGAAATCAGACAATTCTACTCGGTCTGTCTACTTCCGCTCCTGAATCTTCCGCCTCAGACAATCCCGGGAGAAAGAGGCATTAATAGAGGTTTGAGAGCAGGGGTAACAAAAATAAATCGAGAGGTACTTGTTCTTAAAAGATTATAGGGAAATGTTCAAATAAGACAGAGTTAAATATTTCTTTTATTGCTAGGAGAGTGAAGATTCGTGAAGGTTAACCGAAGTGAGATATCTTAACTTTACCTTATGCTAAAAAGTTTTTTTAGAGGGTTAGAGAATAAAGGTTAATATCTTCCAAGAAATATTAGTTCAGAAATATCTGTTTGAATTCTGAGGAAATTCAAGCTATTAAAAAAAACCCTCGAACTTTCTCTATGGATTCCTGGCTCTAGAAAGGGGAATTCCCCAGCGTAACTCACCTGTGGATCCATATGCAGTGCATAAGCCGGAATATAGATGGGCATGCCTTTGGGCACACGGAACTTGTGAAAGGGCGCCAAGGCGTAGCCATCCTCACTGGTGCACTCGCGATCCAGGAAAGGCAATGGTGGATACATGCGCAGGACCTCCTGCAATATCATTTGCATATACTCCAGGGAATCGATCAACTGCTGGGTCACATGTCCGCCGCTGGCAGTCAGAGCATCCTTGATTTCCTTGCGCAGACGCTGCTGCACCTCCGGATGCCTGGCCAGCTCGTACATGGCAAATGCCATGGTGGATGAAGAGGACTCGAATCCGGCGGTAAAGAAGATCACCGCCTGGGCCACCAAGATGTCACCCTCAAACACAAACTGATTGCCCTCCGACTTGGCTTGCTGTGTGCTCCGCTTAAAGTCAATGAGTAGATCGATCAGATCATTGCGCGGCTGCTTGGACTTTTCGCGCTCCGCCATCACATAGTTGATGGTCTTGCGCAGGAACTCGGTTGCCTCGGCGGGCACCACCTTGAAGCCCAAATACGGCACCAATTGCGGCAGGAAGAACACCAAAGTAAACTCCGCCGCACGCTTCAGACTGAACTGGAAGACGGCACGTCCATGACGACGGAATTCACTATTCGGATGACTGAAGCTGTTCGCCTGCACGCCATAGGCCACTGTGGCAATCACGTCCGTGGTGAAGAGTGCGCACAGCTCCTTGGCCTCCAGATCGAAGCAGCGCATGCGCTCATTGTGGAGCGGCTGCTGGCGCAAATAGGCATCCAGATTGCAGCCCACCTCATCGATGAGTGGGAACATGTGCTTGAGACGATTGCTGGTGAAGAATGGCGACAGCTTCAGACGCACCTCCTTCCAAGCTGGATTCTTGAGGAAAAATACATTCTGCGAGCCGAGCGGATCGCCCTTGTAGTCCGAGTTGGAGTAGCGATTGGCGAACTTCGGAAAATCCTTGACCATAATGCGCTTAATCAATGTCGGATCGCGCAACAGCAGCGCCGGCTTGTGGAACACATGTATGCCCACAAAGGGCTTGTCCTGTGCATCCGGATGATTGTAGAGCTGTCCTATAAAATCGGCTGGACTGCTTCGCATGCTCAGCAGGCCACCCAAATTGCCCAGCAGCAGGCTGGGTCGCAGCTGGGGCACGCCACGACGTATCCAATAGGCATAGTGTTGGCGCAGATAATAATAGCCACTCACCAGGAGAAGGACCAAGACCAGCAACAGTGTTCCAAGTGTCATCCTTATTGTCCAAGCTGCGTTCAGCTACTGTTTCCAGCTGCTGCTCGTGACTCTCCATTGAGGGTTTGGGCTGCTCGCGAATGGAAGATAGCGACCAGGGTTCATCAGGTTGCATCACAAGGTCGCCCGTTTTCTGAATGAATGTGCCTTTCATTGTGCTCAGGGTCCGGTTGCCATTGTTTTGTTGCACAGTGCTAACATATTTGCATATTTGGTTGTAGATCAGCTGCAAATCGAGCTTCGAATACTTTATTTTTGTACATGTTCACGTCTTTACTTGTACAAGAGATGAAATGATAGCTATATATATATATTATTATATAATATTATAATATAAACTATGAATTGGACGGGAATCTTGGACTGAGCCGTATCGCTTCAATCATACGGCTATATTATGAACTCATCTGAATAATTATATACCTAATATTTTCTCACTCAAGTCTATCCTATTATATCACCGGAATATTATATTATCATATTATCTGAATGATTATATACCAAATAATTTGTCAGGCAAGTCTCAATCCATGCTCCTCTCCTTACAGCCACCATGCTACCTTTCTGCTTGGCTCTCTTGCTCTTGGCGCTTCTCTTCAGCTACCTCCATTTACTGGAACGTTACAGTTACTTCCGGCGTCACCAGCTGCCGCATTTGCCCGTTTCCACCTGGACGCCGTTGGGTCATCTGAAGCAGTTGCTCTTCCTACGCATTTCCTTTGGCGATCTCTTCAAGAACATCTACGCGGATGAGCACATCCGTGAGGCAAAGCTAGCTGGCTTTTTTGTGTTCCAAACACCCGCGCTTATGATACGCGATCCGGAGCTCATACGCCTTGTGCTGATCAAGGAATTCAATAGCTTTCTGAATCGCTATGAGGCTGCCGATGCTCGACATGATCCCATGGGCGCACTGACCCTGCCGCTGGCCAAGTATCCGCAGTGGCGCGAGAGTCGTCAGTGCATGTCGCAGCTGTTTACCAGCGGGCGCATGAAGCAGCGCATGTACCCATTGATGCAGCAGGTGCTGATGGACCTTGAGCAGCATCTTGTCAAGCGTATGTGTGGGCAAGCGGAGCGCGTGCTGCCATTGAGCGAGATGTGTCAGCTCTATACGACAGATGTGACGGGCAAATTGTTCTACAGCTGGGATGTGGGTGGATTGCGTGAGGGCAAATCCCCATTGCGCCAACAGACCAAGCAACTGTTCAGGCCCGACGTTAAAAAGGTGCTTCACTTCATGTGCATCTTCTTTTTGCCACAATGGACCTGGCTGCTGCGTGCCAAGGTCTTCTCCATGGATTATGCCCAATTCATGAGGCAGCTGGTGCGGCGCCACGCCACGGACAGTCAGGTTGATCTGATTACACAGCTAAAGCAGCTCCAACACGCTTGTCCACACACACACTACGCACAGGAAGCGGATTTTATAGCCGCCCAGGCGGGCATCATTTTACTTGCAGGCTTCGAGACCTCCTCCGCGTTGCTGGGCTTTACGCTCTATGAGCTGGCCAAGCAGCCGGCGCTGCAGCAGCGTTTGAGGCAGGAGCTGGCCACAGCGTTTGGGGGCGACGCTCAGCTTAGCTATGAGGCGGCAGCTACATTGCCATATCTGAAAATGGTTTGTCTGGAGGCACTGCGTCTCTATCCCGCCGCTGCCTTCATCAATCGCGAGTGCACCCGAGCTGAAGGCTTCGCGCTGCAACCACACATCGACTTTGTTATACCCTCTGGCATGCCGGCTTATGTATCCATATTGGGCATACAGCGTGATGCAAAGGTGAGCTGGAAACTGAATCCCAAGGAAACTCGCACTCTCTAATTCTTACTCTTCCAGTACTGGCCCAAGCCCTTACATTTCGATCCCGAACGCTTTGCGCCGGCGCATATGAAAAACATAGTACCCATGTCTTATATACCATTTGGTGCTGGACCACATGGTTGCATAGGCAGCCGGCTCGGCTTGCTCCAGCTAAAGCTGGGCGTGGCTCACATTTTGAGATCACATCGTGTGGAGTTCTGTGAGCGAACGGTGCCCGAAATACGCTTCAATCCAAAGACTTTTATGCTAGAGTCCCTGGATGAATTATATTTACGTTTTTGCGTTGACCCACTGTAGATAGAACTAATATATATCAATTACTTAGCGGCTGTGATATTCGATCATTAAACTTTATGTAAGTACTGTCCAATTATTTATTACGTTTGAGAATAGTTTGGAGTCAGCACTGGCTGACAGACACGCAAGGCCGAGCTATTCATTTATTTACATATCTATATAAAATCGAATTACTTTTATTTTCATAATCTGTTGGCTACAAATTCCAAAGGCCATTGGGTATTGCACGAGGCCAAAGTTTTGCTACCTAATGAGCCAAAGAATTTTAATTGATCTAAGATTTTGAGAATCGCTTAGTTTTTTCCTCAAAAATCTTAAGACTTGCAGAGGTACAAAAACTCATATTTATCAGGTTCTATTCTTCCTAAAAAGAAAGACTTCAAACTTCTGATATTAAGTGGAGAATTGGAGTTTTGATCTGAATATATCACAATAAACTTCCTGAATAATATATTTGCGATTCCAAGTATATGCTAAAATAGGGGAATCTCCATTTTGTTTTAATATGAACCCTTACAATTTGTCAAAAAAGAGCTATGCCCGAATCGCTCTATGACTATGATATCTAAATAAAAGGATTCGTTTATGTCTATTATTTCAAAATATAAATTATTATTTTTTTCATTACATAAATAATTCAATTTGATGCTTCCCCAAACTATCCCTTGCGCCCTGCCTAATCGGAATTTAAGTATTGATTCTTAGTCTAGCGTGCTTTCATTGGGTTTCGTGTAATTAATTTTGGGCGATATTATTTTGTGTGTTATGACGTTCAGTTGGGATGGTCCAGTTTGGCCAGCTTCTCCTCAATGTCCTTGATGCGGCAACGGACCTCGGGAGCAGAGTCGCGCTGAAATTTGGGTAGGTTCGTTTCGAAATTTTGCTTAAGCAGCGCCAACGTGGCCTGATCTCTGGTCAGGCTGAGGCGTTTGATCAGCATGAGGACTATGTTGAGTGCCTCCTTTTTCAGGCCCGTATGGGGCACGCCAGCGGCGAGTGTGACTGCGGCTAGGACATCATTGCAGATCTTCTGCACAATTGCCTCACGTGTCTGCAACGGCGTCGCCTCTGTCTTGGGCTTCTTCTCCAGATTGTTGCGCTCGAGCGCCATTTCTGGCAGCTTGGCCGCCTCATCGAAAATATATAAACGCTCGACATACTTGGTTAGCGCGGCCAGGAGGCTGACCTGCACGGGACGAGTACTCTCGCTCAGAATGCTGGTGCAGTTCTCGGCAAAGAAGAGCTGATATCTGTGCTGGGTTTCAATGGCATGCTTGGGCCACGATTTTCCCAGTGTCTCCCAGACCACCTCCTTTAGCTTGTTGAGCGTTTGGGCCCGTTTGTTGCGCTCATCGGCGCTTAAATCCTTGTTGGCATTGCTGCAGCCGGGCTCATCCTCATCATCGGAGTCGCCCGTGCGCAGCTCCTTCTTCTCCAGCAGATACCAGATCATGTTGTATACCTCCTCAAAGCGATCCGCCTCCAGCACATCCAGTATTTCGCCTAGTGCAGCCAGTGCCATGGTGCGATAGACAGGCTCCTGTTTGCGCGCCTCGCGCATTGCCGCTTCGATAATATTGGCGCAGACCTCGTGCTGACGATCGAGATTTTTGCAGAGCGCAGCCAGAGCCTGCAATAAACGCTCCTTGCCCTCAAACGTGCGTCCCTGCAACCCACTGAGCAGTAGCTTGATTAGTCGCACACGATCCGCCATCTCCAGGCTGCCACTCAGGCGCTTCGCAATATTCTGGATGGCATTGGCCGCCTGTGCCTTGCGCGACCAGCTGGCATCGGTCAGGGATGATTCCAGCTTGGGTATGATGACATGCAAATTGAGACGGATGCCCGCATCGCCGGGACTTATGTCATTCCACAGATCCTTCCATTGCTCAATGTTGGCCTTGTTCTCCTCGTTCTGCTCCTCGTGCATGGCAAAGAAGATCAACGGCAACATACAGTCCATGTAGTCCTTGAGCAGCTCGTGGTGTCGCTTATTAATCGATTGTATGGTCAAAGCTATGGATCGATTGTTGGGCTGCTCCATATACAGCTCGTCCAGTTTGTTAAAAAGATTCTTAATGGATTGTTCCTGTGAAGTGGGATGGCAAGCCATTTGGTTATGTTTGAATCGGGATTAGGGAAAGTATTATCTCACCTTGGCCAGTCCCATGAGATGTCCAATGGCGCTGGCATTGTATTTGCGCACGGTGACGTTGCGATCTTTGATGCCGACAAAACAGGCGCCCAAATATTTTCCCACCAAGGGCGTCATCTCCTTGCCCAGACGAATGCTGACCTGTAAGGAGAATAGGTGAATTACAATCGACCGAGGCAAGTGGAGGATAGGGGATCAGCTGACTTACCAGACACACAAAATGTGCGCAACCAATTTTGGTGCCTAGATTGACGCTGGTTTTCATTAGCTCCAGCAACTCTGGTGTCATGCGTTCCAGCACCGGGTAGTCAACAAAATGTACGCATTTGTTGATCGCGTCCATGGTGTGATGCGATTTAGCTGCCTCAGCGCGGAGACTGTCCACAGCTTCCTGGGCCTCATTATCAGCGCCCAGACGCGTGGACACATACGATAGCTTGGTGTTCTCCAGTTCGCCAGTGGCGCGAAGTAGACAGGGTATGAGCGTGGCAAGATGTGGTGCAATCAAAACGCCCGATGAATCAATCATATCCGATATGGTCTTAATGCTGACCTTTCGTATGTCGGCGACCTTGTGGGCCACGCCCGTTTCCAGCAAAAATGGCAGAATGGAGGCAGCCACTGCTGTTCCGGATTTGCCGTGCTCCGATGAGGCTGCCAGAACGCACAGTTTGCCCAGAAATGCGGCTGTGCCATGCGCAGTCATGCGCGTGCCCTCGTGTATGTCGTCCATGACGCGGAACAGCTGATACCAGAGTTCCCTAAGCTCCGGCTCGGGCAGCTCATCCACCTCCATGCTGTCGGGCGTCACACGACGCGGATTGACACAGCTGCTGGTCGATGCAGCAGCAGAAGACGACGGCAGCTGCTCCTCGGTGCGCAAACGAAGACCATTGGACCTCTTGAGAAGATCTCGCACAGCTAGGCAACATGCAATGCGCACTCGCCACTCCGTGCAGGTGAGATTGTCCAGCAGCTCGCGCAGGATTTCCCAATAGTACTGCTCCGTTACCTCCTTAGAGTCACTGACAATGGTGTCCCATATAGATATCATGGAGTTTTGTATTTTGGGCGTCGGATCGTATTTATAGCGATATAGACGCGGTATTATCTTTCCCAGATATGGTTGCATTTTCTGACGCGACTCCGCGGAGAGCGTCTTTAGGCCAAAGGCAGCGCCCAGTTTGCTAGTCCAGGTGGCATTATGATTGGCCAGTTGCATAAACTGATAGATCATGTCCGGCTGATTGAGATCCGATGCGAGAGAACAGAGCTCCTTGTAGGTGGTTATGTTACCGCCTGTGGGCGTCTTGCCCAGCATGCCCTCGGCGAAGAGCTCAGTGTCGTCAGAGACCTGATTAACCTGACGTTTGCCGCCTATAAGCTGATCCAGTAGCGAATTGGCCAAATCCGTTTGGCTACTGGAGTCGGAAAGTGCGTAGACCAGACCCAAACCGCGTGACGCCACATCCTGCACGAATTCTGTGGAGGATTAAACATATTTAACAAATGTTGTTAGGACTTTAAATCTGTACAACACACCGCTATCATCAGAGAGCAGTTCGGTAAAGGCAAACTGCAGCAGCTGCTTCTTGTTGAGCACAGCGGGTCGGTTGCTGCAGTGTTTGACCACCGCCAGCAGCCACACGGAGATGGCCTGACGCGACTGCGGATTGGGCTCGCTCACCAAGCGTATCAAGGCTATCAGAAACTTTTCAAAATCTGCGTCGCGGCAGTGCTGATTTTGGAACGACTCTGCCGGCGGACCCTTGTTCACATCGTAGCCACACAGGGTGTTGACAATGGCTTCCGAGATGGCTATGTTCAATGCTGCATCCTTTTGCACCTTGGCCAACATTAAGAACTTGTCCAGATTGCGTTTGGTAAAGTGCTCCCCATCGCCTATGGCCAAATAGCCCAAGCATTTGGCAGCCTCCTCGCGTATCTTTTGACGCACAGAGGTGCTGCGCAGCAGCTTGAAGATCACGCTGAAAATTATAAATTTTGTTGAATTCTCAATGCTTGCCAATTCGGCCATCTCTTCGTCGTCATCATCGTCATTGTTGCTGCTTTCCGCAGCAATTTCCACCTGCACATTGGGTATCTCCACCGTCTTTCCAATCATCGAGGTGCATTTGACCGCTGCAGAGACGAGTAGCCACTGCGCTTCATTGAGCATTTTGGCTGAGGATGGAAAGCATTGGTTAAATATCATACTATCAGGTTTTCCTAGGTTACAATGTTTTTCATAATATGTAAACTCAATTTTTGGCCTATTTGCAACCAAAGTGTGGATTTGGACCAAAATTTTACTCCGCGAAATTAACACTAGAATATTAGAACAAAAGCTTATCGCCCATTTTTATATTTGCAATTTAAGGTTTACGCTGTGCGGTAATTCTCAGTCAGTCAGTCATTCAATTGGCCAGAATAAATAGTTCTATAATTAACCTAGATAGATTCAAGCCATTTACTTACCTATAATCTTCACAGCATTTATAAACGGTGGCCAGTTGGCGTAGTCTTTGCTGGAGTTCTGCTGCTTCAGCTGTTCGATTTTACGATTGAAAGTGTGTCCCACGACCAGCAACCAGCCATGCTTGTGCTCTAGAGTTTTCTGAGTCAAGCTGGTCAGACAATCGCCCACCTCTTGATCAAATTTATCAGCTGCAAGTCCATAGGCCCAGAGAATCCCATAAACCTGGGCGACATTAATGCGCATTGTTTCCGACACATCCTTGAGAGAGTTGCTCAAAGGCTCGAGCAAATGCAGCTGCTTCGGCGCAAATATTTCGGGTGCAGCATTCAGCAGATCATAGAGACAAAGCAAACTAGATTCAGCTGCAAAAGATGCACAAGAAAGAACAGTTTATCTCAGTTTGCCAACTCCAAGGATTAAATTTCGTATAATTTCAAACTCACTGCGCTTGGCCTCTACGCCGCGTTGGACAAAAAGTAGATATTGATGCAGCGCATTGGATTCATCCTCGTCGTAATTAATGGTTATATATTTGCGTAGCTCGTGCGTGTACTTCTCATCACCCGGTGCGGCTACAACGCCCGCCGAGTACCACAAGCAGAGACGCAAGTAGTCGAGCATCTCCTCGTAGACCTCCAGACTGTAGGGAAGCTTGGTGCGTCCCACCACAACGCAGGCGTTGCTCTTCTTCAGCCGCTTGTTGGCCATGTCATGGACATGGGCCATCATCACATGGAAACTAGGCAACAAGACACGCCGCTGCTCCTGTGACAATTGATTAAAATCACTAATGGACTCGCTGGTGTGTTTGCCCGTATGCTCAATGGAGGAGAGCATGCTGTAGTTGACATGATCCTTCTTGGAAGTGCCATACAAATAGGTGGTCACATGCTCACGCAAGGAATTGCTGTATATAGGAACAAGATATTTAGTTGGATTAGGATGCATATATAAGTTTAACCCACCGCTCGCCTGCGATGAGCAGCAGCAAATAACGAGCTGGTGCATAAAACTCTGGATAGCAGCTGGTCAGGAAGACGCTGGTTACATTCTGCACTATTTGGATCTTTGACTCGGCATTGTCCAGCAACATGGCCAGCAGCAAATGCTGTTGTCCGTCCAGCTGTACATGGGATGGATCGCCATCCGTGTCCACTTCCATGGCATCCGATTTGGTCTTGGTTTGCCAAGCGAAAGCTGGCGCCATGGAGACCAATGCCTCGCGTATCGAGCTATGTAAATCGGGTGTACAGGTGGCTAAATTATTAAAATAGCCCAGTACCAGCTTCAGATCCTGGCTAACGTCCTGAGGAAAGCTGCGTGCATGTTGAGCCAAAGCGGAATATGCTGCATTCTGCACATCATTCGGTTCAACCGTGTCGCGTCCGATGACTTTAGTGATGCCCGTCAGCATGACCTTGGACACCTTGGAGACTACCTCCCGTGGACCGCTATGAGTTAATAAAAAGGATTGATCGTTATATTTATATATCTATTACTATGAAGAGTCAATAGAATATGGAACGAAAACTGATTTTGAGACAACAACTCAATAACTCACTCTCTCAACACAAGCTCCACAAATTGCAAAGCGAGCACTTTGCACTTCTGATTGGTATTGGTGCCGAAAAGTCCATCGAAGATCACCTGCAGACCCTTGCCCACATTGATGCCCTTTCCGCGACACTTGATCAGATACTGCAGCAACTTCTGACGCACACGAGCACAACAAGGGCGTGTCTGGCGGTCCGTTTGCTTATGCTGATTGCCAATGAACAGAGTGTAAAGTGCTGAGGTAACAGCTGGACTAGTAAAATCCAGCATGGTGCATAATTTGCTCAGCTCGGCAATGGCAGGAGTGGCCACGCCAAAGCGTGTGTCGGCAGAGGCAACCACAAGTAGCACGAAGATCTCGTTGTCGGTGAAAACGCTGGCGCACAAAAGGCGCACAATGCCCTTTTTGATCTTCTCCAGCTCCTCGGCGCGCCAATTGTTGGCAATGACACGCTTAAAACTATACGGACTCAGTCCAGGCGGCACTTCCTGCTCCTGTGTAATGCCATAGGGCAACAGCAGCACATCCTGCAACATTGACAGAAAACTGACACTTATGGCCGGCTTGTCGTTAATCTTAAAAAGCTCAGCTCGCTGTGCCGGGTCATCCGGTATTTTCATCTCGCTTAATATTGGCAGCAGCAGCGTAAAAAGCTTGTCCTGATAGTTCTCCAACTTGCTCTCGCAGCTGACTACCTTGGCGGCCAGCGCGGTTTGCTGTGCCAGCGGCAGGCGGGGGAAGCCCATGCTGATGAAGATGATGGCAAAGTTCTTCAAGAATGTCGTGCTGTCAGGGGCCGCATACTGATCCAGAAGTGCCTCTACGGGTATCTGCACCTGGCTGCGTGATGTTACGCGTCGCTTAATGTGTGTCAGCACCTCAACCACCTGGTTTAAAATTTTTTTTGTTTTTGGTCAGATTTGCACAATATTTTTGCAGCGTCATGCGGCAGCCGCTGTCGACTGGTTCTACTTTACCTTTGTGCGGACCAAATTGTCGGGCGAATTGATTTTGATTATGACTGGCGTCAGGAATTTGCCCACAGTGGTCTCAAGCTTCTCATCGCTATCGGCATTGCCCAGACGCAGTAAAACGCGCTCGAGCAGCTCTGAGGACAAAGAATGCAAAAATTTGTAGACGGTTTTTAGGTTGCGTTTGTGGTTAATTTAAACCGACAATTTAGTTGCTAACTGCGCCAATACGCTTTGATTAGGCTTAATTATGCTTTGTGCTTAGTTTTGGCTTTACGGCTAACTTAAATATGTTGTATATTTACCAATTTCTGCAGCAGGTCCCGCTGTTTCCATTTTGCTTATTTTTCTCTTATTTTTTGTTTAGCGTCTGAGAGTGTTGCCAGTGCAGGGCAACAGCTGAGAGCTTATGCGGCGTTGCCAGACTATCGAATAGCAAGTCATTCGCTCTGCTTCATACTATTTGCAAATGTGGCGCACAATTTAAACGGCTTATAGAAATCCATTAAATTAAAGCTTTATTGCAGGACAGCTTCCTTGGGCGGATATTGCTTTTGGCAGGCAGATATCTTGTATTGTCCCAATCTTGACTGATAATCTAAACGAACGCGAACTAAGCATTGTAACAAAGCGGGGATTTATTTGTACGAACACTGCTTGAACCGATAGAGAAAAATTTATTTTCTTCGATATTAGTTAGAATAGCTGAAACCGTAGGGATTCGCTCAATATAAAACTCTTTCTATTGTAATTGGGGCCTTATATAGTTATCGAAAGGAAATAATCTTTTGTTTATAATTATTTGGTTAATGAAGCTTTTATTGAAATCAATTTGAATACATTTATATTGTTATTTCCAAGTCATCATGGCAGCAATAAAAAACTGTAAATATAATAAAATAAGACAGACATTAGTATAAAATATTAGTCTTTGGCAGCTGCAAGAATCTGCTGATAGTTTTCAGTATTTTTACATTTAGTAAAAAGAGTCAAGGTTCTTCAGCAATTTGTTTTATGAAGACCGTCATGATTTTATCATCAGAAAATGCATTAGAAATTTTAATATAAATTGTATTCAATACACACCTTTTAGTGAAAACAGACTGTCGCAGATGCTGAAAATACTGAAAAAGATCTACAAAATTAGACAGAATATGATTACATTTACATTTTTTTTGTTTTATTCAAAAAGAATAATGCTACAAATATTGTTTTTATCCATAGTGGTTGTCCTCACTTAAAACTTCTTGAAGCTCTTCTTGGCGCCCTGACCCTTGCTGACTTTCAATACGTTGAAGCGCACGGTCTTTGAGAGTGGACGGCATTCGCCAATCGTGACGATATCGCCGTGCTCAACATCTCTGCAAGAATAAAAGGAGAGGTAAGTTAAAAGACTGCACATGAAAGCTGCTAAAAAGACTTCAATTTATGTTTTGTCAGTATTTTTACGTTTCGTAAAAAGAGTCAAGTTGCTTCAGCAATTTGTTTTATGAAGACCGTCATGATTTTATCATCATAGTAAGATATTCCATAGTGTTGAGAGTTATGAACTAGACATACCTGAAGGCGGGCGAGCAGTGGACGCTCATGTTGCGATGACGTTTCTCGAAACGACTGTATTTGCGCACAAAGTGCAGATAATCGCGGCGAATGACAATAGTACGTTGCATTTTAGTTTTGCGCACAACGCCGGTCAGGATGCGGCCACGAATTCTCACATTGCCAGTCCAGGGGCACTTCTTGTCAATGTAGGTACCATCGATGGCCTGCGGGAAAGAGAAGAGCGTTAAATCTAGTATTTTTTTATGTGCAACATTGAAGGGGTTTTCTTCTGGTGGCATGCATACCTCACGTGGCGTTTTGAAACCGAGACCAACATCACGGTAACGGCGGAGCACCTTCTTTTTGGTGACGCCGGGCTTGACCTTACGGTTTAGGTTAACACCGAACTGCTTTTGGAAGGCGCGCTCGTTCTGTTTAGCATGGCACGCGACAAGTTAAATGGATGCGGGGTACATAAACGTGCAGGTGGGCGCAGGCGGGGCATTTGTTGTTTGGAAAGATGGAACAGAAAAAACGGGGGCGCAACATTAGTCAAATTTGCACTGAAACTCTTACCTCGGCTGGGATTTTAAAACCCAACCCAATTTGACGATAAAAACGCAAGCGCTTCTTGCCATTGGCACTCTTGCGACGCGTTGTCGGCACCGAGTGCTGCTTGCGAAATGCACGTTCCGTTTGCTATAATAATAATAATAATAAAATTCCGAGTGTGTACATTGTGAGACCCCAGCGTTTGAAGCATGCGTGCAAGTGTGGTTAGGTTGAATGCTGGCCTATCTGGCTGTTGAATTTTGATTCCTCAAACAATACACTCACAATGATTGCGCTGCACAGCAATTGTGTAGTTCAACTCACAACGCATTTAATTTCACATTTCACAGTGCATTTATCTAATAGCAGCGCATTAAATGCCGTATTTTATTTAATTTCGAACACATTTTTGCTGCCTTACCTGATCAGCCATGTTGGAGCAAGAGGAAAGAAAGAGCACGCGTTAAAATAGCGATGAACGATATTTAATTGTCAGTTACCTATGAAAAGTATTTTAGAGCAATGGTTACTATCGAATGTAACTGTTTGACTCGTTACTTTGACAAGGTAAACTCAGTTATGCTTGTGTTCACTTAAATAAGTACTTCTAATATAAAGCACGAAATAAGGAACTCGTATAGTTAAGTAATTTAATGTACTTTAGATATGTTAAAGTTGTGTTAATATTTGGTGCTCATATATAACAGTTAGATTCATCTGCTAAGTCACAATCATTTTAAAATCACAACACGGCACATCGCTGCTTCAAATATCGATATATGCGTAATGCTTATCAAATAAATCGGTGATTCTAACAGTGTGTAAAAATATCGCAATAGTAAAAAACGTTCATCGATTGTGTCGACAATCGATTAGAACGATGAGGCGCTCGCAGGGCTGCAATTAGGGCTGGCGCGATTTTAAAATGTGTTTTTGAAAACTAAAAGTACGCTGGAACAAAGGGCAGTTTTTCTGCTCTTTCAAAGTCCTTGATTGTTCTTTAGAAGCTGTTGTTTGAATTGTTTGCATTTCGGCTGCCGCCGCAACATTTGCTCAGCTATTGACCTTCTGCTGGCGCTGACATTGACTTTGATTTTTGCACATAGCTAAGATTTTAAGCCACAGCTGCGCCATACTCATTGACAGCACTTGAAATCCACTTGAGTGGCTTTCAAAAAAATCTCTTTTGTGCGTTCACTTTGCGCTGGCTTAGCAGCTTTTGTACCCCTCTAGCATTTGCTCCTCGCAGAGATATATGTACATATATACTAAAGATGTATGTGTAAGTAAAATTAAAAACAAATGCGTCAGCGCTAATTCGTGACATACGACAGCCAGTGAGTAGCAGAATACGTCGGATTAAAAATAATGACAACATAAACAAGTGCAAGTTGGGTAAGGCATGGGATTGCCTTGAAACGAAGACAGTGCCCCGGAGCTGTATACGGCGCTAGCAACAACTGACACGGCTTCAAGGCGAAAGCAGATGCGCTGCCATTGCTATAAATCCGTTTACGGCTAAACGTCACAGATGAGGGCCAGGCTCAGGCCCGGGCCCGGGCCGGGCACGGGCCGGGCACGGGCTGCCGATGATGCTCCTGCTGCCAGCCTGCATTTCATTGCCATTGTTAGTGCGGATGTCTGCAGCATAAAATAATGGCCAGAGAGCCAGGCTCAGGCTCATGCTCATGCTGAGGCACAGGCTCGTTGCTGGTGCTGATTGGGTGGTGACCTTAACCCGCAACAAATTGTTGGAATGGGCACTGGGCGTGGCATGCGTATGCTGTTGCTGTTGCTGTTGCTGTCAAGGTTTTCCAACGGCCTTACTCGTTGGCAAGGTAAAATAGCTGCATTGCAACGGCAATGAAATCCTTTTGCTGTCGTTTCGCCGAAGGTTTTTTCCGCCGTGTTCATTTTTTGCATATTTGGCTCGAGGTAAAACTAAAAATTTGCCACAACCACACAGCCAAACACATACACACTCTCATGCACATGCTTAAATTTAAATTATGACCGCGCGCGCAGCTCCTTATTTTTAATAAAAACGCAAAAAAAAGCTTTTAAACTTTTTCACTTATTATATTTTTATGCTAATTGTTGTTGGACTTTATTCAAAATGAAAAAAGTTTGATGGGCGAAAGTTTGTGAAATATGGCAAATGCAAATTGTACAATATGCGTCCATCGCTCAAACCCAATGCTCGATTGTGATAAACGCGCTTTCGAGTCAGCTGCTCCTGTTTTTATTATTCATTGTAAATTAAAATAATGGGTGAGACAGTTGTGCAAATGTATATTTATATATTTCTTATAGATCAGCCTGCTGAGTCGATAAAGACATGTCAGCTTATGATTGCCATAGATTTCATATTATTAAAGATTAAATCAATTTATTGATTAATTTCCGCCATTATTATAATTATAAAGGTTCTCGAATAGTAAACACTGATCCAGGAAATTAAAAGACAAACATTTTAAGTGGAAGCTTTTCTTCTTGGTACATTATATTCTATTCAAATGTCATATTATAATATCCAGAACACTTAGAGAGTATCTATTATTCGACTAGGATCGTAAAAGGTTTCTTTTTTAGCCACCCTTACCAAATACACTTTAAAGCAAATTAAGAAAATAATTTCCATGGCGCATGAGACAATAACAAAGTCGAGCAAATAAAAAAAAGAATATGATAACGGCGTTAAGTGTGCAGCTTAACGGTACATTAGGTAAACAGTGTTGTCAACTTTGGTGCCGCAACACAACACACAAAAGTGTGTGTGCGTGTGTATGTGTGAGTGTGTACACATAAAACTTCCAAGTGGCTGTAGTAAAAACGCTCAGCCATTGACCCTGTCAAGGATGTGGGTTCAATGGGTGGCCACCCACACACCCCCCTCCCCATACTTACAAACAAACCCCCCACCCCATCGCCGGCAGGGGTAGCTCTGCTGGTTTGTTGTCTAAGTGTGCGTGCATTTGAAAAGTGACCGAGATAATTTTTGGCATGCTTTGTTTGGTTTTACTTTTGCTGTGGCAATACCAAAAAAGTACCCATCTTCATCCCCTCAGCCCCAAAGTCCATACAATTTTGATGAGCAGCAGCTGTGGCTGTGGCTTAGCCTAAGGTTTGGGTTCGGGGTTCTGGATCTGGGCCTACTTGTTGTTCAACAAACAAAATTTATCCACTGATGGGGGAGAGATGGTGCGCAGGAGGGACTGGATGCGGCTTGTACCTTCATCAGCTCAAAAAACAAACGCAACGAAATTGTTATGAAGCTGGGTAGATGCTTTTGGGACATTGTTGCTCCGGCCTGTAGTTAGGTACAGTTGCCCCCCCCTAGCCCCATTCTTTTGCGAAGGGTTGATGCTGTAATTATGCTAATTTCTGTATAACATTCTCCTAAATACGTTTTCACAAAAAAAACCCACCCCAGATCAACCATCATCTTTCGACTGAATAGGCTCTGACGTTTAAAGCTCAACGGAAATTGCTTAAATTCTTGCAGGACAATTTCCGGCTGAAGGAGGCAACAGCTGCGGTTTCTAAGCAAATAACACAAGTATTTACATAAGTAAATGGATTGGCCTTTTACTGACGGAAAACAAGAAGTATCCTTTATTATACGATTGCCAAAAATTAAATACCCTTGTAGACGGTTCGGATGACAATTCGAGAGCTGTTCTTCTATGCGTAGCACATTTCAGTCAAAAATTAGAATACCCATCGTAAGGGTATCACAAAAGGAAATGAAAATTGGCCTGATTAAGTTTTTGACATTTGCACGCTTTTTTAGCTTAGGGTATAAGGAAACATTTCTTAAGCTGCTTAGCCAACTTTTAGCCAATTACTGACTACAATTAGGAACTTGTGTTAAGTATATTCTGGTACTTTAAAAACGCCAACTGATTTTCTAAACGAGCCTTTTCATCAATCAACAGCTAATGAAGCCTGCTACAGAGCACACAAGCAGCTAATTGAAAACTTTTACTCCTTAACTAGCCGTGACGCCTACTACAAATCCAGCGGCCCAAGCCCACCTGCCAGGGCAGAGGATTTTACCCTCCGCATACATCAACCTTTACGGGCAGCTTTGCTGCCTTTTATAGCCTCCGCAGAAAAGGCCGTAAAAGAACGCCCGGAGAACAACAGCAAAAGCGACAAATAAGACAAAAAGTTTCGGCAAGAAACATGGCGCACATGGGCCTTAGATATTGGGCACGCTGTCTGAACTTGGGCTTCCGGTTGTTTTTTCTTCTTCTTCTTTTGGTTCTGTTTGCGCACGGCATCCGTTTCCTTCCCAGACTCGCCAATGGCCGAAGCGACTGGTCATCACTCTTCTAAGGCTGAGCTCGTGTCGTGTTTTCTAAGAAAATTCACTTTTTTTGTAATGATATTTTAATAAAAAAAAATTGGTACGAAGTTTAAGAATATATATTTGGAAAAACGTTGTGTTTATATTGAAACTGAATAACGTTATAAAATGATTTGAAAAAATTCAAATGTAAAATATGAATAGTAATGAAACGTTTAAAAGAAAACGATGAACAATTGAATTTAGTTATGGTATCGAGAAGTCGTTCCTTTTATTTTTTGGTTTGTGGTTCGTGTTAGAAAGTCCAACAAGCATCCATTTCTATTTTGTTTCTGCCTCCCTCTTTCTCTTTCGTTCTCCCTATCACATTGGCAGCTTCACGTAACGCGTTGCTGTAGATTTATTGCCTCGCGCCCGTTGGCAAACCTGAAAGGCATTTCACATTAATTTCTTAAATTGAAGCCTCGGTCAGCAGACGTATGTAGCTCGCATATATCTGCACACACAAAAAAAAGAAGAAAAATGCATAGTTTTTCTTTTTCGCTGATGCTGTCTTTTTCAGCTAAGAAAATCGATGCGAATCACTTGCCAACAGTTGGTGCTGGCGTCGCTGATCCGAACATAATTAAATAAGTCTATCCCATACGTATATATATTTTCTTGTGCTTGGTGCCCGCTAATTACGGCTGCCACTACTTGCCAGGTGTTTGTCTAGCTTCATTAATGCGCAGCAAGGCATTTGCATAGTGCATTGAGAATAATATATTCGAAATCAAAATATTAACTGATTCTTCGATCGGTTAATGTAAGGTGGCAGCGCTTAAAGCTCTTAGAAGTGTTGCTTAACTCTGTTAACTATCGATTAATTGCTTAATAATATATTCGAAATCAAAATAGTAACTGATTCTTCGATCGGTTAATGTTAGGTGGCAACGCTTAAAGCTCTTAGAAGTGTTGCTTAACTCTGTTAACTATCGATTAATTGCTAAAGCTGGCAATCTTCCTTTTAGCAGTGTTGCTTAACTCTGTTAACCATCGATTAGTTGCTGAAGCTGGCCATCTTCATTAAAACGATCTAAAAATATAAAATTTAGTTCTTCGACTACAGTAACCGTTGTTTTACACATGGTTACTTTTATATAAAAA